GTTTGGGGTCAACTAGACCCTGGGTGACCAGAACCTTCTTCTGGGTGCCCTCCATCGGCTGTGGCCAAAACAGACAGACTCGCTCACAAAAGAACAGTTCTCTCTTTCTGCAGTACTGCGTGTTGGAGACTCACTGGTTGCAAGAGGGAAGTTAGCCCCTGGGGAGGAATCCAGACCCCTGGTTACAGGGGCATCGCTGGCCGGGGACACTGGGCTTTTCAGTAGCCCTGACAGCCCAGCACCCCAAACGGGCCAAGTAAAGCTGTCCTGTAGGTGATTCATTAAAAAATACCTTCTAAGAAGGGCGGTCATGTATCCGGAAGCACTTTTAGAAGAGCTCTTATGGCAGCTGATGTTCTGAGAATGACAACTTTGTAGATTTTATAAAAGTTATACATAACTTTATTAATAGTTCAAACACTACAGAAAAGCATAGAGAAAAACATTAAAAAAAAACAAAACAAAACAAGCAAGTCCTGGTATAGAAATGGATCAGTGCTGGGGCGCCTGGTTAGCTCAGTCTGTCAAGCGCTTGACTTCCACTCAGGTCATGATCTCACAGTCCTTGGGTTCGAGCCCCACGTCGGGCTCTGTGCTGACAGCTCAGAGCCTGGAGCCTGTTTCAGATTCTGTGTCTCCCTCTCTCTCTGTCCCTCCCCCACCCACTCTCTGTCTCTGTCTCTCAAAATAAAGACATTTAAAAAAAAAAAAAAAAAAAAAAGAAAGAAAAAATGGATCATTGCTGGGCACCTGGGTGTTTCAGTTGGTTGAGTGTCTGCCCGACTCTTGATTTCAGCTCAGGTCATGATCTCACAGTTTGTGGGATTGAGCCCTGCATTGGGCTCTGCGTTGACAGCATGGAGGCTGCTTGGGATTCTCTCTCTGCTCCTCTCCCACTGTGCTCGCTCTCTTAAAATATATAAACATTAAAATAAAAAAAAAAAAAGGATGAATGTTACACAGCCAAGACAATGTCCGTTAACCTCTGGTTCCTAGTTTTTTCCATAAACAACAAAACATTTACCTTCTAAAGATATTTGCATAGTCTTTTACATAAAAGCATTGTTTTACTTTTCCTTGAATTTGACATACAGAAAAATCAAGGTGATGGTAATGAAATTGCTGCTCCCTCAGTGCAGGCAGACCCCAGCCTTGTCTGCGGTGCTGTGTGCGCCCCTCTCCCCACCTGTCTCCTGTGTCGTCATGGTTTTGTGATGTTTGTATCCATCAGATTTGTTACCTCAGCTGTCCGTGCTCTTTGGTCTCGTTCTTGGATTTCTGTGGGTTCAGCACCAGTCCGTAGACCTGTTACCCCTGGTTTCCATTTTTGACTGCTGCCTATTGGTTTGTGTTTTCACTGGCTGGGTTTTTCAACAGGTCATTTTTTTCTAGAAGCTCCTTGTTCCATAAGCTGTCATGTCCGTGTGAACATTAGTCTGCGCCTCTGTGGAGAGCTTGCCTGGTCCTAGCATTATTGGGTCAGGATTGTTCAGATGTTGTCCCACTAACATTCCGATGCTGTGTGTTACAAACTTGTGCTACTGCAATTATGAGGGAGAAAGCTGCCAGTCACAAATGACTCGGGATGCTTAATAACTTAGTGTTTAGGGGCCCCTGGGTGGCTCAGTCAGTTTAGTGTCTGACTCTTGATTTCGGCTCAGGTCGTGATCTCCCAGATTGTGGGATTGAGTCCAGTGTTGACAGAACAGAGCCTGCTTGGGATTCTCTTTCTCTGCCCCTCCTCCCCTGCTTGCTCACGCATGCTTGTGCCTTCAAGGAAAGAAAGGAGGGAGGGAGGGAGGAAGGAAGACAAGTTTGGATATAGTTACTGGCAATCCACTGAAACTAAGAAAATTAATTTTAAATTATTCTATTGATCTTTCTTAAGATGGGTCTATCTAAGACTAGGAAATTTTGACATTCAGTGCAGTAGTATTGGTGATATCTGGCATACATACTGAGTTTTAAATCATAATTTAATCTCTTCCATCAGATTAAGTAGCTGACTGCTTCTAGATGTTGTAGGCATCCAGGCGTATCTCATATGGAGGGGATGGTCCCAGGCAAACAGCCATAAAACATCACAGTAGAGCCAGTCAGGTGAACTGCTTGGTTTCCCAGCATATATAAAAGTTCTGTTTACGCTAAGCCGTTGGTTGGTAAGTGTGTAGCAGTAGCATTATGTGTAACAAAATTTTTAAAAGTACATACCTCAATTTTAAAATACCTTATTGCTGAAAATTGCTAGCCATCAGAGTCAGACTCATGGATCAGAGATCACTGTAACAAATATAATAACAAAAAGTTTGAAATATTGCACCAGTAAATGTGACACAGAAATGCAAAATGAGCAAATGCTGTGGGAAAGGAGACTTCCTTGATACAAGGTTGCCAAAAACCTTCAGTTTGCTTTAAGACAAAGTACACCATGAAGGGGTATGCCTAGAGCTATTTTTTTTTAATCAAATTTCTTTTCTTTTTAATGTTTTATTTATTTCTGAGAGAGAGAGAAACAGCGTGAGCAGGGGAGGGTCAGAGAGAGAGGGAGACACAGAATCTGAAGCAGGTTCCAGGCTCTGAGCTAGCTGTCAACACAGAGCCTGACGAGGGCCTCGAACCCATGAACCGTGAGACCATGACCTGAGCTGAAGTCAGATGCTTCACCGACTGAGCCACCCAGGCGCCTCAGCCTAGAGCTATTTCTGAAGAGTAGACCAAAAAATAAAATAAAATAAAGAGTAGACAGAAAGTATTACTTATTGATTTTTTCTATGGGTGGGGTTTAGAAGCCAACTATTTAATAGGGTTTGGGCACCTGAGAATAAAAGAAATTATGTAGCGGGCCAGTAGTTGGGTTTGACAGTGCTGTGGTACTTCTGTTGTAGGCTAGCTAGGTAAGGTACTTAGTACTGGCTAGTACTTAGTTGCTTAAAACATGCTGCTTAATCAGCATCAATAAAGATGCCTGCTCCTGACTGAAGACCTCTTGGCTCTTTGCTAACCTGGTCTAGTGAGGTCTACAGATGAAGAAGGAGACTCAGAGCACTGCAGTGACTTGCCTACAGTCACACAGCTAGAAACTTTCAGAACTAAGCTTAGAACCCTTACATCCTGATTCCAAAGCCCGTGATCTCTCTCTTGTCAGTGAGACTTGTTTTACTTTCCGTCCTTAGCAACACACCGTCATCCCTTAGGCCTGGAGGAGAGGTGGTTTAACTGGTGTCCTTAGGTCAAGGGGTGACGCCCTTGGGTTTGAGTTCATATCCTGACTTGACGGATCTGTAGTTCTGTCTCCACATCTGTGATATCACTGCCATAGCGCCTGCCTGGGGAGGGGAGGGGAAGCCTGACCCCCGGGGGCTGCCACACTCCAGGAAGCCAGTCCGGTGGGTGCTGCAGGTGGCCACTGGAGGGAGTCCAGGGACCTGGCACATTGTGGCCATCCACCCCTGCACCCTTCTCCTGTCTATCATGAGCAGTAACTGTTGCAATAGATGTGGTAATTATGTGCCCACAGGAGTGTGGGGGTGTGGGAGCTACCATTGTGTCTCCCGCCGTCACGTCTGCCACAGGCCCAGATGAAACTACTCTTCTATCCCAGGTTCCTCATTCTGTTGAAGCGTGGCTTCAGATCGTTGTTTCATTTAGGAGGCAGGAGCAGTACTTTTCCCAGACTCTTACATTATGTATTCTTTATTATCTATTAATGTTTATTTTTGAGAGAGAAAGTTTATTTTGTTTACTTATTTTTAGAGAGTGAGTTTATTTATTTTGTTTACTTATTTTTAGAGGGAGACAGCGCAAGTGGGAAAGGACAGAGAGAGGGAAAGAGAGAATCCCAAGCAGGCTCCACGTTGTCAGTGCAGAGCCCAGTGTGGGGCTTGAACTCATGAAACCATGAGATCAAGACCTGAGCTGAAACTAAGAGTTGGACGTTTAACCAGCTGAGCCACCCAGGTGCCCCACCCATATAAATTATTAAGTCAGTATTGAATTTAAACATTATGTCCATCCCTCGTTTTTCAGGTGGGTGACCTCAAGCCAGGAGCTACAGGCGTCTGATGGCGCTGGGCGCTGCCTAGGCCCGCCTTGCTCCCATCAAAGAGGTAGAGTAAGGAGATTGGAAGGCCCTCCCCTTTTTTTTAAATGTTAGATATTTACTTTTTTTTTTTCCCCCCTGAGAGAGAGAAACCGCAGGAGCAGGAGAGGGTCAGAAAGAGAGAGAGAGGGAGACACAGAATCTGAAACAGGCTTCAGGCTTTGAGCTGGCCGTCAGCACAGAGCCTGACGTGGGGCTCGAACCCATGAACCATGAGATCATGACCTGAGCTGAAGTCGGACGCTTAACCCACTGAGCCACCCAGGTGCCCCTAATGTTAGGTGTTTACTTTTAATTTTTTTTAAATATTATTTCAAAAAATTTTTAATGTTTTATTTATTTCTGAGACAGAGAGAGACAGCGTGAGCAGGGGAGGGTCAGAGAGAGAGGGAAACACAGAATCCGAAGCAGGTTCCAGGCTCCGAGCTGTCAGCACAGAGCCCGACGCGGGGCTCAAACCCACGAACCGCGAGGTCATGACCTGAGCCGAAGTTGGACGCTTAACAGGCTGAGCCACTCAGGCACCCCGAGACAGTCTTTTCTTTTTATTGGAGTTCTTAGTCTAAAGAGTTCATTTCCCTTTTTCTTTTAGCTTTTTAGCTATGTTTTGTATTTCTTTATCTAGAGGTCGCTCTGGAGATTACAATGAACACACTTAATTTTGCATAGTCTCCTTGGTATGTCTGTGTTCTCACCCTTCACAAGCACAGTCGCCGACTTCGCCTCTGGCCCCGCTCCCCACACTCCTTTATGTCAGTTGGAGGCGTTGTATCTGTGGACCTTCTGGCCCCCACTAGCAGTGCTGTGATGTTTTGCTTGGAACAGTCATCTGGATTAAAGTCCGTCTGCTCTGTGCTTGGAATCTATACTTTTTGATGTTTTCTTTGCGTTTTTCTTGTAGATTAGCCTACCATGGCAGACCAGAGACAGCGCTCACTCTCTACCTCTGGGGAATCACTCTACCATGTTCTGGGGCTGGACAAGAATGCAACCTCAGATGACATTAAAAAGTCCTATCGGTAAGAGGCCACACACACTGGGAGGACCTCGTACCTCGTGTGGTTTGACCCGCATTTACCGAAACCAGTGTTTGTCCCTGGCTGACCCCATGTCTACCTGGCGATGGCCCCACTGCACCTCTGCGCGCACTGAGCTCCCCCTCAGCCTGCAGCTCTCAACTGATATTTTCTTGGCAACAAAAAAATAACACTTTGTGAATGATACAAATGGTCTACCCTGGGGCGGCCAGGGTCCAGAGGGAAGCAGGTCTGAGCCTGCTCAGCAGACTGGGCTTTAGAATGCTGATTTGCTCCTCTCCACGCAGTGACCATAGTCTCCTCCCCGGAGGCTGCACTGAGTATGTTGTGAGAGGCAAACACCCTCACGCGTCTGTACTCACATAGTCGTCTGTGTTCACGGGGTCATGAGCGCGTGGGAAACAGGCCCGTGTCGCGCCCCTGCTCATTACCGCTTCCTCGCGCACGTGAGCAGTTTGGCTGCTGGGTCACTAGAGGTCGGCAGTGGGGTTTGCCTTGGAGCTGTTGGAAGAGCCGTCCCTCCCTCCCCGTGCCCTGCGATCTCTTCCTCAGGGTTAGCCCTCACCCCGGGACTCACTTCTCTGGGGCCGGCTCAGGGCCAGGTGGTTCGCAGAGATCTCTGCGGACTCTGGTGGTCTGGATTGCTGGAGAGGCGGAAAGCGCCATGGCGGTGGAGAGAGGTTTCCCCCAGTGGGCCCTGTAATGGATGAATGTGAAATAAGGGACAAAGAAATGGTTTTGATTTGCAGGAAACTTGCCTTGAAGTATCACCCTGACAAAAACCCTGATAACCCGGAGGCCGCAGACAAGTTCAAGGAGATCAACAACGCCCATGCCATCCTGACGGACGCCACGAAGAGAAATATCTACGACAAGTACGGGTCGCTGGGACTGTACGTGGCCGAGCAGTTTGGGGAGGAGAACGTGAACACCTACTTCGTGCTCTCCAGCTGGTGGGCCAAGGTGAGTGGGGCCGGCGGCCAGCGCCGCGCCCCGGCTGCGGCAGGAGGGTCCCGGGCCCTGCGGGGTTCCAGGCCGTTTGGTCTGGGGGCCTGGCTCGGGGGCTGCAGTTCCCGGGTGTGGGGCAGTCTTTTCCCTCGTCCCGGGAGGGTGTGGCTGCCTTGCTAGCCTGTGTGCAACAGGCCAGGAGCGCAGAGCCAGCCGACACCGAGCTGACGTTCTCTGACGAGTAAGTTCCCGCAGGGACAGGCCTCGCAGGGTAGCTTTCCCAGTGTGTTGCGGACGGATGTTTCTGTCGTCGTCGTTTGAAATCTGACTCGAAAAATTTTGACATTTCGTCTGTTCTATTTCTGAACACCTGTACTTTTCATTATTTGAATCAAAACCCATGTGCCCTGAAGGCCCCAGGGCGTGACTGGCCCTGGCCACTGGGCTCTGCAGTGCTGGCCAGTCAGCCCTCTCGGCACTCTTTGTAAACTCCCTTTCTGGAAGCTACAGAGCTCTGTCTCACGGAGTCCCTGCACCTCCGCCCGTGACGGGCATCTTGGCCTGGCACGCCCCCAGAGTGCTCTTGGAGCGGCCCGGGCCGGCCGCGGGGTGGGGGTCCCGGAGGCTGCATGGCCAGCGCCCTGTCGTCCGCCCGCGCAGGCGCTGTTTGTCGTATGCGGGCTCCTCACCTGCTGCTACTGCTGCTGCTGCCTCTGCTGCTGCTTCAACTGCTGCTGCGGGCGGTGCAAGCCCCGGGCCCCCGCGGGCGAGGACGCAGGCTTCTACGTGTCCCCCGAGGACCTGGAAGCACAGCTGCAGTCGGACGAGCGGGGTGAGTGCCCGCCGAGGGCCGCTGAGCGGGGCGGGGCGGGCCGGGCTGGGCCCTGAGCCGTGTCGACCTGTCTTGTCAAACAGGAGGGCACTGACTCGGTGCCGGAGTGTTTGTGGTGGTCGCTGGGACTGTTGAGGTGTGAACGTGGACACTTGAGGTAAAAGCAGACGCGCAGGGCTGTCCCACCCGCGATCTGAAGTGGCCGAAGTTCCGCGGGACCCAGCAGGTGGGGAGGGACCGAGGGCTGGCGGTGACCTGAGGCGACTGAGGAAGGCTGTGTTGGGTGGAGGTGCGCAGATAGCCTCTCCCCTCTGACCTGTGACCCCGGAGGAGTGGCCAGGCGACAGAGCGTAGTCACACAGGACAGTGTCCTTAGGGGCAACACGTGTGCTCGGGAGGCCCGGGAGGCCCGACGGCAAGGCTCCGCCCTCACACGATGAACACACATGTGCTTGCTTTTCAGAGGCTGCAGACACGCCGATTGTCATACAGCCAGCATCTGCCACAGAGACCACCCAGCTCACGGCTGACTCCCACCCCAGCTACCACACCGACGGGTTCAACTAAGTTCTGGAGCCGCTGTGATAGAGGATAGCTCAGCACCCGGCCACTTCACCCTTAGAATCATGAACTGTAGCCGCAGAGATGGGGAGGGAGCTGCTCTGGCCATGGAGGAAGGGCAGCCGCCAGCCCGCCGGGGCCCTTCCCACCTCTGTGCCCGCCCGCCCGTCGCCCCCCAACACGTGAAGTGCGTCGCATGCAGTATTTAAAGCAGTGTAGCTACGGTCCTCTTCTGTTCTCTCCTTTTTTAATAGCATGTCTGGGGTTCCGTCCCATGTCTGTCTGTGTTGTGGGCGTGCTGCAGCGTGGCTGCGTGAACCAGATGCTGAACCAGCCTCGGGGCCTTTCGCATGGCCGCACTGACCCACCGCTATGTGGGGTCTCCCAGCCAGGCAGGCTGGAGCCGGAAGGGTGGCTCCTTCCCCTGTGTTTGTGAGGTTCGGAGGCCAGTGCTGCCCGGCGACAGCTGTGAGGTCTGCTCCCTGCCCTGTACTCACCAGCCATGTGGACACGGCCAGAGACCCTGGACGCATTGCCAGGAAGGCGCTGGGCACATCCTCCCCCCACCCAGCACCTTTCTGTGCTGTGTGTGTGTGCAGGTCTGTTTGCCTTGGTCGCTTGGCCTTGTGGCTGGGTTTTTCCCCACCGGTGAGTTTGTTGTGGAGCGTGTAGGAGGCTCTGTTGACCCCGAGACCACGTTTTCTACCTGGGTGCAGCCTGGGGCTCCCTGGCGCATGGTCCCTTGAGCGCGCTTCCGCTTCCGGGCCAGGCTGTGGGGGCTGGTTCTTCCACACTCCCACTCTTGCCCCAGGCCACATTCCAGCCACCTCCCCCCCCTTAGGCCACCCTGCACATTCCTTCAGGCCCACCCGGCTGCTGGTGGGCCTTTCTGGACCTGGAAGAACAAGCGGTGGCAGTGAGCCAGTTTGTCGTCAGAAGGGCTGACTGTCCAGGTTGCTGGCGGAGCAGGGCGGAGCGGCCCCGGGAAGCACGCGTGCGGAGCGCAGCCCTCCACTCTGTGCTTCCCAGGGCTCCTGCCCACCTGCCTTCGCCTCTTCCCTTCACCACCGATGGGTCAGGCGGCGCTAGAGACATCAGGTTCCCAGAGGAAGCACCAGCCAGACCAAAGGCACACACCGGTGCCCTTGGCTTGTGAGCCGGCAGCCAGACTGGGCCGCCCCCTCCCCCCACTGTGTTGAGCAGCACCTTTTGTGGGCTTGGAAGCCAGTGTTGTCTGTGTCCCAGAACCTGTGGGTGGTGCGATGCGCCCGTGCTGGCCCGGGCCTGAGAGTCGGCCCGCACCCCCGGCAGCCCTGGACGTGGAGTGCTCCCTGCTGGGCCTGCACTGGCCACGGGAGACCACAGTGGCACACGTGGGCTTGGTCTCTGTAGAACGAACCTAATGGCTGCTGCTGAGTGTCTCTTGAAGCTGGAGTGGGGACGAAGGACGAGGGCAGTGCTCGCTCAGATGTACCGGAGCGCGTTCCCGCCGCCTGTTCCCGCTGCCCGCCGCTTCCACTCCCTCCCCCCGCCCGCCCGCCTGGCCCCCTGAGGCCGCGCACAGAGCAGGTTCGGGTTGGCCAGGAAGTGTCTGGAAGGATAGCAGTGTGAGGACAGCGTGGACCTGCTCAGCCAGGAGGGCCGTGTGAGGGCCCCGGGCCCGTGGGCCAGGGGTTCGATCCCTTTTTGTTGTTTTTTTGTTCATTAATAAAACGATCATGAAGATGTCCAACAAGAGTGAAAATATGCACTGTGATTGTAAATTAGAAATAATTTGCTAAAATCTGACCTCGTGAAATGCTAAGAAATTCATCATCTGCCCTGGGACAAGGGAGGAGGTAAGACCACGGAGCCGTTCTCTGTGCGAGTTCCAGCACAGCAATGAGATGGAGCCTGAGAGGCAGGCTGCCGTCAGCCTTTGTGATGTTTCTGGAAATACTTTGTGAGCTGTTTTTCCCCCAGAATGGCCAAGAACTAAGTTCAAAGCTCGGACTTAAGGTAGAAAGCCTGCCCTTCTGCAATTGGCCCCACTCTGTGCTCAGAAAACCTCAGGGCCGCCACACGCGTCTGGGTGGGCCAAGTGTCCTCCAGCCACAGAACGGGGAGCTGCCCTGGGGGCCAGGGTGGCCATTGCTGGAGGGGCGGGGCAGGGAGGTTTGTCCAGCCCAGCCTCGAGGAATGTGTACGATGGATTGAAGTAAATCATGGCGGTGATGACCAGAATGATTGCCTGGGGAGGGGGTTGTCCGGGGGGGGGGGGGTCCCCGGGACTCCCCCCGCCTGGCCCTGGCTGTGTTTACACTTGGTGGTTCAGAAGCAGAGCCCCCTTCCAGAATCAGCTGTGCTCGTCAGCCCTGGGAGTGGTTCCCCTTTCCTGGAGTGCGAGGTTGCGGAGTCTGGAGGAGGCCGTTCACTGGCCACTTGGGGGCGACTGTCTGCCTGTTGCGCAGCAGTGAGGGCTGCTGGCTGTAGGACTGCCCCCCTTCCTCCCCCCCCAGCTGCCCCCCCCACCCCCACCTCCAAGCCACGGGTGGTCGGGTGGTCGTGTGTGGCCAGAGAGTGCTGGGCTGGTGCAGGCCGGAGCCCACCCAGTTCCACAAAGCGCGGGGCTTGCCCTGGGGCCCTGGGGCCTGGCAGCAGCAAGCACCCGAGGCTGGCAGGAAGCGCACAGGGCTCTGGGGCCTCTGGCGGCGGCTGCTGGTGTTTATGTTCTGTTCCTGGCCCAGTGATGTGGTCTTCTCTCGTCTTTCTCTTGTCTTCCTTTAGCTTTATTCTTTTTCAAACTGCTTTAGATATTACCGCTTGGTGTGTGAGCCTTCCTAGTTCCCCGGTCAGTTGGCACCATGGGCACCCACTAGAGAAGAAGCCAGAGTGTGCTGAGGTTAGAGCACGTGGCATTTCCACACCCTTGGCCACCAGGCGTGGTGGCCACGAGGCTCCTGCTCAGGGAAAGGCCTGTTCCAAGAGTTCCGACTGCAGGGGGCTGTTGGGGTGAGCTCGTGCTGGAGGGGTGCCCACTGGTGCCGCCGGCTGGCCGGGAGACAGACGCGGGGCCTCCCGGCACCCAGGAGGGGTGAGACCACCAGCACGTGGGGTGGGCACCATCTCGCAGGCCCTCACTGGAGGGGCCCTGCCCGGCCTTCCCTGGCTCGGCGTATCCCACCAGAGGGACAGACGTGAGGGTGTGGAAGGAGCGACTGCCCTCATTCCTTTCTCAACATGCTGATCTGTGAGCCCGTGTGACACAGGACCGCCCTGTTTGTTTTTGTTACTTTGGTTGTGAACCCTCCTGTGGAATCGGCAAAAGCTACATTTTTACTGTCCTCACAAGCACGGTTGGCATTGTCTGTGCTGTAGGTGTGGGCAGTGGGTGTATCTGTGTGTGTACATATGTGCATATGTATATATCACGCGGCAGGTGTGACTGCTGCTGTCCAGCGGCAACCAGTACAATAAAAGTTGGCTCCAAAACAGCCTTGGGTTTCTTGGTGAGTTGGGGTCAAGAACAGGGTCTTGGAGGCAGGCAGGCTCCTTTGCCGGGTGCGCAGAAGTGAACACCAGCCCTGTTGTGTCCCTAGGATTTGTGTGAATGGCCAGGTGGGGTGCCAGGGCTACTGAGGTGGACTGTCACTAGTGCCACGCCCATCTCTGGGGGCCCACCCATCATGCTCACCTGACACTCCAGGTGAGTGACCCTTTGGGACATCTAGGTGTCTGGAAATCCTTCCCTCCCTTGAAACATTAAAACCAGTTTTCTGAACATCAGATACAGTTTGTGATGAAGTGTATTCTAAAGGGGATTCTGTCTTCTGCCCACAGGTCTGCTTTGGGAGGGGTCCACTGGGAAGGAGCAGGGGCCACACAGGGCCTCCCTCCGGGACACGGCGCTGGGCTCAGGGTCCCAGAGGCAGTACCTTTCATAGATTTTGTTTCCCTAGAAAACAGAACAATGTTTCAAGCTAAGAGAGGGGAGGCAGTTTACCCTGAAATATATATGTATATATACACTGTTTTTAAATACTAAATACAAATGCGTGGAAACAGCTGTCCATGCGCTGGTTTTGTCCTGTGGCTGGAACCCACAGAGGTGGGCAGGTGCCCCTGACCCTGGCTCCCACGTGCACCCTTGAGGGCCAGGCTGGAGGGTTAGGATGGGTCCCGTGATGATCTCCATCTCGTATGTCTGAATGTTGACCTTAAAATAAAGATAACTGTTGTAAAATAAATGTTTTCACCGCAAACCAGGCATGTGTTTTATTGAAGGGTCCCTGCAGAACCCTTTTCTGGGGGAGTCTTGCACTGGGGGGCAGGGGCCTCACTCCCACCTCCCTGGCCCGAGTGTGGACAGAAGCCCTCCTTGGTTCTGTTTCACCTCCATTGTCTAAATACCACAGTAGAGGGAAGAAAGGGCCCTGTAAGCCCAGGGTGGCTTGGGCTGTCCCCGCCAGCCGGTGGCCGACAGCCCCAGCTTCTGCTGTCCCCTCATTCCCGCCTGGCTGACTTGGTGACTCCTACCGCCTCACCCTGGAACCGTCCTGCCACCCACACAGACGGCTGACCCCCCTCCCCGCCCCCGAGTCCCGAGGTAGAACCGCCTGGCAGGCAGGGTCCGGGCTGCGGGGGCCTGAACCCTCAGCCAATAGGACAAGGTAGGCAAAGGGTGACTGTAGGGGCACGTGGTGCAGGCTGCACCCCCCCACTGTCCCCTAGGGCAGTGGCCACCACACCTGGGCCTGTGCTGTGTCCAGCCACACCCCCTCTGGGTCCCGGGTCATCCCAGGTCCCAGTGCCTGCCCAGGGCATCAGTGTGGAGTACGCTCGGGTCCTCACGCCTGGTCGTGTCTGAGCCAGTGGTGACCTGGGGCTGCATCTTGGCATCTCCCCAGCAGGGCCACCCTCCACCCTGACCCCTGCCTGGTCCTCCAGCTGCCATGACTCCACACACACTGCACCAGCTTGATGGCAGAGAGAGAGGAGCAGGGCATGGCCTGGGCCCCAGCAGGCACCCCTGGGCTCTGCGGGTCACAGCACGGGGTCTCGGGCCCCACTCAGACGGCCTCTGTGCCTCTCTCTCCTCACCCTGGAGAAGATGTCTAGTCGTGGACTCTTGCAAGAGATGCCGTCTCTGCCTCAGGGTGTGTGTGTCCCTGGGAGGTCATGTCTGGCCGTGTGTGCCCTTCTGCACACAGTAGGGCCGGTGGCCCAGAGGCCCTGGCATTAGGTGGAAGAAGCCACCCTGACTCAGGAGGCCCATGGGTGTGACGACCCCCCCCCCCCCGGCCCCCGCCTTGGGTCAGGGTACTGGGTCGTCTGTTCCTGGGTGTGAGAGCAAAGCAAAAATATTTTGAAAAAAATAAAGCAGCATAGAAACATCAAAAATAATTTAACAAACACCTTGAAACAAACCCTCCATCTGGACGTAAATATGAAGCCGTTTGATTTGGGTTTTCCATAGAAGGAAAGCTGGCCGTGACGCCCTACACCTCCCTCCCGAGCCTCGCGTCCCCCTTCCAGCGTGCCCCCCCCCCCAAATTTCAGTCTATTTCTGCCTGTGGTTTTAACCGTACCGGTGTCAGCATCCATAAATCCTATCTCATTCATGATTTTATTGATCTCTAAAATTTTGCGTCAGTTGTAGCACGCTGTATCAACCAGCATGCACTTTCACTCAGTGTAGGTTTTTTGAAAAATCAATCGTGACTACACTTAGGTCTAGTTTGTTTATTGTAGCTGCTGTGCAGCATACATCCTACGAATTAACCACAAGTGTTGATGGCCTTGCTAATTGAGGATGTAGCTTTTCAGTTTTTCGCTGTTGACCAAAGCTGGGCCGCCGGGAGCAGGTGCACGCACGTCCAGGGAGCCATCGTCACCGGGCACCATGGCTGGGCACCGGTCCTGAAGCCTCCCTGGACTGGTGGCCCCAGACTGCCTCGCAGAGTGGCCTTCCTGTCACTGCTGTGCACGGGCAGGAAGGCCCCTCCCCAGCTCCTCAGAGCTCAGGCATGTTCTGTGTGGGGTTCTTACTGAGAGATGTGTACTAACACCGAGGCTTCATGGTGACATTCAGGGTTGTGGGCGGCGGGACCTTCTGGCGGGGGGTACAGGGTACAGGCGGGGTCAGGGGGTGGGTAAATGGCACTTGGAGGAGATTTCCCAAAGTCCACCTGCCCCTGACGCTCCCAAGCCCAGTCTTGGAACTGTGGGCTCCTGGGGGAGGTCGTGGTCGCCACGTTCCGGCAGGGGTCCTAACGTGCATGTCCCCCTCCCTCACCCCACCACCCGTGAGGAACACGGCGAGCCCCGCGGGGCAGGTGTGGGGGCGCGCGGGGCGTGACCACCAGGAGGGCAGGGTCCGTGTGCCCCTGTACCGGCTGCCTGCAGGTGAGCCGACCGGGGGTGGGGGCGCCGGGCTCCGGAGACTGCGTCGTGACTTATCGCCTGCAGGGGCCTGGCTGGAAGGGCGGCGGGCTCGCCCGCGCAGGGACCCTAAGCCTGGGCCCCTCGGAAACCGCGAGCCCGGGGGTCCCGCGTCAGGTGCCCTCCACCCCGACGCCCGTACACTGCGCCGGTCACCGTCACCGCTGGAAGCAGAAGCAGAAGCCTGGAGGGGGCGGCCATGGCTCCCGCGGCGGGGGCGGGGTTGGGGACCCAGGGCGCCGAGGCCGAGGGACTCACTCCCGCTCAGGAAGCCCGCGGCAGCGACTCCGCCAGACCGCTCGAGCCCACGGGGACGACGGGCGCCCGGAGGAGCGCGGGCAGGACTCGGCGGAACAGGGGCGTCCGGGCCTGGAGGGGTCTCCGCCCCCCCCCCACCCCGCGGCGAGCGTACGGCCGCTCCGAGCCCCGGACGTGGGGGACCCCCGCTCCTACCATCCCTCCGCGGACGGCGCACAACCCGCCAGCCCTGCCCCGCTCCGTCCGGCTGCGTGGTGCCTGGCGGGCCGGGTCCGGGCGCTGGGACCCGGGGGGCGCGCCGGGGCGCGGGGAGAGGGGGGAGGATTCGGGGGGCGGGGCAACCGCTAGCTCCACCCCAGCCACGTGACGCCGAGCCAGTTCTTAGTGACCAGATAGTTGAGCCTAAGGACCCGCGCCGGGAGCCAGGCCCACCCGCGCGTGCGCCGACCCCGGATGCGTCGCTGCTGAAGTTGATACTGCTCGCAACTCAGCCCTTCCTCTGGCCCCATCCTGTGGCGGTCAAAGAGGTGGGTCCCCGTGAACCCCATGTGCGAATTACCCCATTCTTGCCCTTCTAACCCAAGCCCAGCTAAAAATCCACCCGCTAACCCCTGCCCTGCCCCTTCGCGCCTCTGAATCTGCTGCTTCCTCCCGTCTGGCTCGGACCCAAACCTCGGCCCCGCCCTGCTGAGCCCGAGCAACCCCAGCCGCAGCCAGGAATCCCGGCACCTTGCAGGTGTGCTTCCTGGTTCCGGAGGCCCAGCTGAGGCCCCCGTGAGGAGGGGAGTCGTTCCCCAGGCCCGTACCGTCCCCAACCCCCACTGATGACAACCTGCATGACCAGCCCCACACAGCGTGACAAACCGGATGTGCCTCATGCCGGGTCTGGGCCCCATCCCCTGGCAGGGGTACCCCAGGCTTCCTTTCCGGCCAGGCCAGGGCATCCCGTCGCCTTGTGGCAGCTGCTGCTGGCAAAGGGGTGGCCCCTCACGGTCTGACGAACCTGAGACTGACCCTGGAGACACCATTCTCAGGTTGGACAGTCCTGGAGGCACCGCCCAGGGGCAGCTGGTGACGCTTCCAGCCGGCGGGCTTCTCGCGGACTCTCACGGTGTCTTGGGAGCTTCCGGACGAGTATGGAGTGGCTCCAGGTCTGCAGCCACCTTTCCCACTACCAGGCTCTGAGGGCATCTCCAGGCTGTAGCCCCACCTTCCCAGCTCTCCTCAACTTCTCCCCCAGGCTCCTGCTCCCTGTCCCCCGAGCTTCTGCTGGGCCCAGAGGAGCCCAGATGCCTGGAAAGGCAGCACAAGGGCCATCTGGCTCCCGTCAGTCCGCTAGAGTTTCCCAGGGATGGGCTCATCCGCCCCTGGAGGGCTTCACCCAAGCCTTCTCCCCAAATTGGACCCCTCTGATGTGCCTAGAAGCTGTGCTGATTGTGGTTCCCAGGAAAGCCTTGGACCTTGGGTTCTGGTCCTATCTCTGGGACTAGGAGGCCCCCAAGGGCTAGAGGAATTGCCCCGTCCTTTCACTGGCAGCCTGAAGACCCTCCCCCAGCGCTGTTTGCTAGGTGACCTACTTCTACCCCCACCACACGCCCCGGCAGGAGATGGGCTCAGGAGCACCGCTAGCCTGTGGCCTAGCCTCCCCAAGTTGCTTTGGATGAGGGGACCACAGCCTGAGGGCGCGGGTCCTGTCTCCTGATTCTGCCCCACTGACCCTCAAGAAGGGGGAGGAATTTGTCCTCCCCCAGGGGCTGGTGGCTGAGCCGGGCGGGGGCAGCCGGGCCCTCTCCTTCCAGCTGCATTGTGCACATGCACGCGTATGCGTCTGTGGATTTGCTGTGCACTGCTGCATGAGGGGTGTGTGTGTGTGTGGTGTCGATACATGCGTGTACATGGGTGGGTTTGATTTATTCTCTGAGAGCTGGTCAGCCCCTAGCTGGAATAACCTCGCCCTTGCCCGGCCCCTTGTTAACAGTGTGGGAAGACCTGTTGTGACCAAGCACGTTCCCAGCCTCACAGCCCCAGGGCCCCTCCTAAGTGGGGCCAGGCCAGGCTCGCAGCATAAGAATGGCAGAAGGAGTGGATGGGGCCTGGAACATGGGAGAGGGGTCCACTCACCAGCTTGGGAAGAAGCCCCTCCTGCTGACCTCTGGGCCCCATGTCCGTTCTCTGTCCCTGGTGCCTGGCCACCCCTTGGACAAGCCTCCTGCCTTTATCTGCTTGCCCTTGGCCTGGCCCCCACCCAGTGACTTCCTGTCCACGCCCCCACAACAAGCTTTTCCATGACATGGTCTTTGGGGGGGGGTGGGGCCAAGGAGATCAGGAAGGCAGGAAAGAGGCAAGAGCCAGCCCTGGAAGAAAGGCGGGGGGGGGGGGGGGGGGGGGGGGGGGGAAGGCTGGGGTTCCTGACAGCCCACCCCCCGCAGCCCCGCGCCCGCAGCACACACACCCACGCGCAGGCAGGCCTGCCCCAGACCGTCTGTCTGGAGGGGAGCGACAGAAGCCCGCGCAGCCTCGAGCCCAGAGGCAACGAAGGCAGGGCTAGAGGTGGGGTTCTGGCCGCACACAGCACGGCTGGCCCCCCGAGGCCCTGCCATCTGTGCTGCAACTTGGGGCTCTTGTCAGCGGCTGAGACCCACTGTCACTCCCTCCTACAGCCTCGCACACACGGATTTCCGCTGGGCTCCCTGACACAACAAACACGTGGTGGGGGTGGGAGGTGGCTGCAGAGGCTGCCTCTCGGGACCCATAGCCCTAGGTCCAGGCCGGGGGGCCACCAAGGGACCCATCTAGCAGAGCCAGGAGCTGTGGGCCCCAGCTCTCCCCTCCTAACCCTGGCCTTGGGCCTGGACTGCAGGGAAAGCCAAGGGCAAGACCAGAAGAGCCTGTTGTGCTGTGGAGAAGGCCAGGCTCCTGGACGCCCTCCCTCTCTGTGGTGGCTCTGCACCCCGGGGACCGGGGCGGCCTGACCGCTGCCAGCCCTGAGGCGTTTCCTCAAGCCCCGAGTCCCAGGCAGGACAGCACTCAGGTGCCCCCAACCCATCAGTCACAGCTTCATTTCCCCAAACTTTATTTTATAAAATGTACAGAGTAAGATACAGCGGTAACGTTTTGGGTTTTTTTTTAACTAAAATAAGTTATGACATCTCTGTAAGCAAGGCCATGAGGCAGGAAGAGGCTGGCTGGGGGCGAGAGCTCCGGCTAACTCGCGGAGGCCACTTCTTCCTCATCGCTGCCGTCGGGAACGGCATCGGTCCCGAAGTAACGGTCACCGAAGTTCCCTGGGGAAGGAAGCAGGCCCTTGCGGTGGGGGTTCGGGCCCTCCAGCCCCCGGCGCGCCACTGACCGGCCCTGCACGGCCTCACCGATGCCAGGGATGATGCGGAAGAGGTCGTTGACGCGCTTGTCCACAGCTGTGGTGATGATTCTCACTTGCGGGAAAGCATAGGCCACCGAGTGAACGCCCATCTCTGCCATGAGCAGCGACAACAGGAAGATCTTGTCCTCAGGCACGTCATGGTCCTGCACGGTATGGGGTCAGTAGAGTCCAACCCAGCCCTGAGGCCGCAGCCCCCTCCAGCCCACTCACCAAGAGCACGCGCACAGCCATCATGGCTGCAGCGCCTGTGGACACGGTGCAGTCCATCAGGATGACGTGGTCGTCACTAATGTCCTTGGGCAGCCGCAGGTAGTGGAGCTGTGTGGACGCAGAGTCAGGGCCAGCCCAAAGCTAGGGCTGCCCTTCGGGCTCCTGCACCCCCACCCCCGCCCCACGGCGCCCTCCGGGCTCCTGTCCCGCACCTCGGGCTCCCCGGTGAGCTGGTTGGTCTGGATGAGGATGGTGCCTATGCGTACGTCTTTGCACACGGCCCGCAGCGCAGGCTCCATCGTTTCACCGGCCCGCAGGATAGACACGCCGGTGATCTGGGGGCCCGGGGGTGGGGGGCGTTGAGCTGGCTGGACCTACCGCCTCCCGGGCTGCCCCAGTCTCGCCCCGGGCTGTGGCCCCGCTGGTACCTGCTTCCCCGCATAGCACTTGCCCGCGTAGTCCTGCCCCTGCGGGGTCTGCACGACGCAGTCCTGCGCACAGAGGGGCTGGGGTCGCTCGTGAGCACGAGGGCACCGTCACAACCGCTGCCACACCCACCACCCTAGACACTCGCCGGTACCCGCCCGCCCCCGCACCTGGAAGGGCAGGAAGGAGAGCGCATGCTCGATGAGCAGTCGCATCAACCTCTTAGAGTAGAAGATGAATTCGTCACGGCTGGTCTCCTTGTCCCTGCAGGCCGGCGGAGTTAGGCAAAGGAGTGGGCCCCCAGGGGCCGCCTCGCCCTCAGAAGGGCCCTCACCTGATGATCGTGTGCATGCCTCGCACCTGCGGCGTGCTCTTGAGGACACTTAGCGTCTGGGGCAGAGGGTGGCACTGGTGCGCCGAGGCCAGCGCGGCCCTGGGAACACAAACCAATCGGGGGACTCAAGAAGGGGTGTCTTCTCCTGCAGCCCCACCCCCCCGCTCTGGACACTGTGTGGGGGGGGCAGATGTGATGGGGGCACTGGGGTGTGCAGAGTGGGGTCTGCCGCCTCCCTGTGGCTGACCTGGAGGGAGGGCCCCACCCCCTGAGGTATGCCCGCCGGGCGAAGGTTCAAGGACCATCAGGTGGGAAAGCGAGGGGCTTTGGTGTCAGGCCCCCCTCCCAGCCCAAATCGCCGCCTGCACTTGCTCGGAGAAAGCAAAAGGGGACCAGGCAGTGGGATGGAGAAGGGGTCTCGGCCCCCAGGATGGGCAACTGGTCCCCAGCCCCAGAACCTGTCTCTCTGGGGAACATTGCTGAGCTTCAGGGCCAAGCCTCGCCCTGACCCTTCCCTCCAGGCGATGCACAACCCTCTCAGAAGACAGGGGCAAATCTAGCTCAGGGCCACCCCTGCTGCACCAGGACTGGAGCGGGGAGAGGAGCAGGGGCGAGGAGCAGGGGGGGGCGGGCAGGGGCAGAGCGGGGGGGGCAGGCGGGGCGGGGGGCGGGGCGGGGNCCCTGACCCTTCCCTCCAGGCGATGCACAACCCTCTCAGAAGACAGGGGCAAATCTAGCTCAGGGCCACCCCTGCTGCACCAGGACTGGAGCGGGGGGCGGGCCAGGGGCAGGGCGGAAGGGGGCGGGGGGGGGCAGAGCTGGGGGGGGGCAGGCGGGGCGGGGGGCGGGGCGGGGCAGGGGCGTGGAGAGCGGCCCCCCTCCCCTCGGCCAGCGCAAAGCACAGCAGCAGCAGCACCAGAGCGCACTCTGTCCTCACATATCCCAGCGCAGCTTCCTCTGCTCGCCAGGTGAAGAGTACGTTCAGGGAGGGAACAGGGCAGGAAACCCAGGGGTTTACAAAGAAGAGGAAAAGAACAAAGAGAAAAAGAGCATTTAGCAAGGGCGGGCGGGCAGCCCCTGCGGCCACCACCGGCTGGCTGGCCTGAGAAAGAGAAGAGGCAGGTGGCGGGGCGACAGGGAGACCCCTGGAGGCTCTGCCCTCCGAGGGACGGCCTCCGCCCGCCTGCCTGTCCCCGCCGCCCGCCCACCGGCAACACTTCCTGGGGCTGACAGAGGTGAGCGGCCACCAGCCGCCACTTCCTTGGTTGGCCAGGGAAGGGGAAACAGCCAGCAGCATTCGGGTGTTTTCTCAAGTCTGAAACCCCAGGAACTGTGTCCTCACAAGAGTCTTCCAGAGGGCCTGACAGGGACAGTCCCTGCAGGTGCCCTGGTCTGGAGGGGACCCAAGCGGTGACTCGAGCGAGGGCGGGACGCTGGAGGGGCCAGCAACTGGCCCTGGAGGCATTCCCAACGCAGCAGCTGGGGCTCCCAGTCGTGAACTGGGGACTCTCCTGGTGCTTCCCGATTCCACAGAAAGCCTGGGCTAAGGGCAGGTCATTCATTCGCTCATGCTGAGCACTGTGTGGGATGGGTACTCCCTCTGCTCCCTTGGGGCCCTGGTGCATTCGGAGCTCCTCCTGGCTCTCCCTCTGCGCCCCGGGTCCAGGGTCAGATGGGCAGGGGGCCAGGGGGCTGGGACCTCACCGCCGTCTGCGGGAGTCAGGACTGGACCCTCAGATCAGGCAAAGGAGGTACAAACCCAGGCTCTCTGGCTGCTGAGGGACATGCCTGTGGCTACTGACCTGGTGGGGGGAGGGGTCCAGCAGTGCTGGCTCGGCACAACCGTGACACAGACCCCGTGTACCCAGCCCCGTGCTGGAGAGAGGCCTCCAGAGAGGTCTGACCCGCAGAGTCAGGGTGCTGTGTGACCTTAGGCAAGTTCCTTAACATCCCTGTGCCTCAGTTTCCTCATCTGCCAACAAGGACAAGCAAAGGCAGTGTGGGGGCCATCACACCATCCCTTCTGTGCCTGGGACAGGGCTGCCCAAGGGTGGGCATAACAGGAGAGGACCCTCCCACCTGCCCAGGTGACAACCCAAATTCCAAGCTGCCTGTGGATGTTGGAAATGCCTCCGTCTGTGCAGACAGGTGTAGGAAGTCTTACCTGACACTGAGCTCACGCTGCGGCGGCGACACAGGGAGACACAAGGGAATGGGGTGGCACGTCAGTGATGGTAACACTGCTCACCTCGCGGTCACCGGACAGCACAGCCCATGGCCACCATGCACCCTGGCCAGCCGGGCCACCCCCACCCAGGACGGACCTGCCACAGCCCCACCAAGGGACCGTCCCAGGCAGCTGCCAACCACGGGAGGGAGCCAGCTCTTGCGGCCTGTGACCTGGACACCTTCTGAACTGGGCAGTAAGAGCCAGGGCTCCTGGGGCTCCGTTCCTCAGACCTCAGGCTTCCAGCACCCCAGTATGGAGCCTGCCCAGAGCGGCAGACAGTGCCCGTGGCCAGCCCAGGGCATGTAACTTCAGGTAGGGGCATCCCTCCTAGAGTGTTGAGGACGCAGCACCCAGCACTGACACCCAACAGTCCCTTGAAGCTTTAGGAGGAACAGGAGTGCACCCTGCCACTCGAAGCCCAGCTCAGGCCAGAATCACCCAAAGGCACCTCTGTGCCCCATGCTTTCTCAGGGAACCCAGTCGCCTCTGGCCAGCATGAAGGGCCGGGGGCTGGCGGGCAGCACGGCTGACCGAGCAGGCCAGGCCTGGGACACTGGAGGGCCAGAACGTGGCCGGGGGAGTGTAAAATACATTGGGGGGGGGGGGGCTGCAGAGCAGGTGGCTGTGGCTGGTGGCTGCAGGGGAGCAGGGAGTGGGGCTGGGCGGGCTGCAGGGACCTGGGAACCTGGCCCAGATGACTCACCTCCTCCAGCTGGCTGTGCATGTGCTGCACGATCAAGTCGATGGCCACTGTGTTCCCGCTCCCTGGGACAGAACAGGTCAGGAGGGGGACACGGGTGACCGAGGCCTCATGTGCCCACATCCCTAGGGGCAGGTGGGTCTGCAGGCTCACCCCAGGGCACCACGATGTCTGCCACACGCATGGTGGGCTGGATGTACTGGTCGAAGGCAGGTTTGACGAACTTGTTGTACTGCTTGATGACACCCTCGATGTCTCGGCCTCGCTCACTGATGTCCCGGCGCAGCCGTCGCACGAGGCGGATGTCAGAGTCTGTGTCCACAAAGATCTTCATGTCCAGGAGCTGGATGGAGAGAGCCAGCTGCTGAGCAGGGCGTGGCACCAGCACCTGTGGCCTACGTGTCGGCCGGGGAGCAAACCAGGCCCTTGTGCATGGCTGTGGGGGCGTGTACACACTGAGCGGGGGGCGCTGTCCACCAAGGACTTCAGTCAAAGGCCACCGAACGGATACCCGTTCCTGAGGCAGGATGGCGTCGGCGCCGTTCCTGTGGGTTGTCCACTATCTATGTGCCCTCACATGCTCCAGGGGACCAGGGACTTGTTCCCTCCCCACCACATGCCCCACCACAGTTCCTGGGCTTGGGGAGTTCAGGTCTGGCCCTGCAGGGGCTGCTGGGGACCCCTGGAGGGCTGGGACCCCTGGGCTCAGTTCCTGGAGCCTAAGCCCAAAGTCGCGGGCCTCAGAACTACTGGGAACCGGGACCAGAGCACAGCCGGCTGTGAGCACAGGCGTCCCTCACGGGCCTCAGCAAGGGCGGGAGGGGGGCCCCGCGCAGCACGGCCTGGCGGGAAGGGTGCAGCCGGCGGGCCGCCCAGGGGTCAGGAGTACGCCGCACGGGCAGCACGGGCACGAGAGCCCGCCTCCATCCCAGGCAAGAGCACGCACGTGCACACACACTTGAATCTGCACCCACCACCCCAAGGTCGCTCTGACCTCAGTGATGGATGGGCCCCAGAGAACAGCAAAGGAAACACAGACACGAAGAGGGTGAGCAAGGGTCAGAAGAAAAAGAAAACAAGGTGGAGACCCTGGCCTGGGGCTTGCAACCCCACCTAGAAGGGAGCCCCTTCTCAGGCCGCCTCCCTGCCCACGGGCACTTCCAGTCTCTCTGTGGGAATGGCAGGTCTGCTTAACCCAAGGTCCTGACCGGCTCCCCAGAGAGTAGCCATTCCTCACCCAACACCCGGTAACTGCACCGCAGGATGGGACAGGTGCTCATGCACCTGGCACAGCAGGTGGCTCGGCCTGCTTGGTGGAGGCCGGTTCGAGGTTAGAACCACAGGAGGAGCAGGGCGCTGAGTGGGGGGGGGGGGGGGCTCCCCAGCAGGACCGTCAGCCTCGAGCCCTGCCCTCACCTCCAGCAGCGTCTTGTCAGCAAAGGCCATGATGCCTTCGAAGATGATGACGTTTGCACCGTAGAGTGTTTTCTGCAAAAGAACCGTGTGGCGGTTCAGCCACTGTGCCCGCCACGCTCCCAGAAGGATAAGCACGGGCCGAGCCCAGCGGGCCTACCCAGTCTTTCTTCCGGCTGTGGGTGGTGAAGTCGTACACGGGAACCTTGACGCTCTTGCCCTGCTTCAGCTTCTTGAGGGTGGACACGATGAGGTCAAAGTCAAAGGCGTCTGGATGGTCGAAGTTGAAGTTGTTGCGGGCGGCCTGCTCCTGTTGCTGCGTGGTGAGCACCTGGAGGGGGAGGACCCAGGGGCTCTGTGCGCCCCTCCACGCTATGCCAGTGGCAGGGGCGGGGGCTCCAGGCCCCTCTGCGGCCAGGGCCCGCGTGTGCAGGCAGGCTCCTCACCTTGTAGAAGGAGTCCATGGACAGCAAGACCACCCAGGGCACATCCAGGGCCTCGATGATCATCCTGGCCACTGTCGTCTTCCCAGAGGCGCTGCCGCCTCCCAGGCCTGCGGGACGGGGCGGGGTGACCCTGAGCAGAGGCGGCAGGGCCAGCCTCCCAGGCGGGTTCCCGTGATACCCACTGCCTGACACCCTCTTCCCTCCCCTCCCCGGCCTGGCACCACCTGAGGAGCACAAGGCTGCTCACGTCAGCGGAGCCGCCGCGCAGGTGTTCAATGGCAGGTCCTGCCCGACCTGCCCCTGCCGCCCGTGGCCCTTGCTCACCGATGGCGAAGGCCTCCTTGGACTGTGTGCCATGTTCATTGTACCAGGGCGGCCGCCCCGCTGTGTAAATGGTGCGCTTGCTGGTACGCAGCAGGGGCGGCTCAGACTTGCACTGGCTGGTGGTGCGCTTCCGGGGTGAGCGCCTGGTGCCCACAGATGGGAGGAGCCTGTCCAAGGACTCTGCACTGCTGCTGCAGAGAAGGGGCACGCACTTGCCTCTGCCATCCTGTGTCAGGCCTGGTGCGGCCCCGTGGGGTGCAGCCCCCACACAAGCACACGGGCATGGCCGAGGTGGGCAGACTCAATTGGGAAGCACACAAAAACCACCTGCAGCCCATCCACAGGGCTCCGGGCCTCGGAGTGTCACTGCCCCCACAAGTTCAGAGGCACAGCAAACCACAGGGCAACGAGGACTGCCATCTCAGGCCTGGCTTCTCTTTCTTTGTAGGCTGGGCAACCAGCTGGCTGCGCAGGGCCCCATCCTTTCAGGAGATGACCAACGTCAGTCAAGACCCCATCAAGGAGTATGTTCCCTCCCAGGACACTCTCTGGGCAGCCCTCTTGTTTTATAAGATCTGACCCCTGCTACTCTGCAGGCCACACAGGGTGCTCCGGAGACAGAGGCTGCTGACGGGAAAGCTGGGCAGGGCGGCAGAGTGGGTGAGTGTGGAGGAAGACCCTGGGCTGGGAAGCCAATGGGCAAGCCCTTGCTTCTTGCCCTCCAGCACGCTGCAAACTCCAGGTGGAAAGCAGAGGCCCCCAAGGGCTACAAGCTGGAAAACTCAAGCCAGGGAAGGCATGGACAGCATCTGTGCTCTGTCCTGCCCATGCTGTACCCCTAGTGCCGAAGTGACAGGCTGACTTCTCCATCATTTCAGAAGAGGCACGGTGTGACTGCTGGCCCAAGGCCTCAAATCCCAACAGCGGCAGCTCCGGGGAGACTCAATTTGGCTGATTGGCCCAGCTGGGAGGTAATGTCTGCTTGATGCTGTGCTGAGACTCAAAAACTTGGACACAAAAGCCTAGTGTAAAGATGGCTGCGAGGCCAGGACAAGCCTAGGGAGAAAGCATTTCTGGCCACCGCATAAGAGAGAGACAGGCCTGGCCAAAGCATCACCTTGCAGACTGGAGGCTTCAAGGCAGGTGGTGGCCCAGCACGGCTACTGACTGTCCAGGCAGAGCCCCCAGAGGGTGGGAAGACAGCGCAGGGAATCAAGTGGACGCAAGGGGCAAGTCAGGCCCCGCGGGACGCTGCCTGCAGCACTGCCTGTCCACCCCTGGTCCGGGACCCCGGGGATGAGTGCCGCTCACAGTACTAGCAGCAGCGCCTGGGAACAACAGACAGGGAAGACGTCCTGGAAGTATGGCTAGTGAGAGAGCCAAGCGCAATGAGACGTGAACTCACTTAAAAAGGGCAAGTTGAGGGGCGCCTGGGGGCTCAGTCGGTTAAGTGACTGACTCTAGTTCAGGTCATGATCTCACAGCTCATGGGTTCGAGCCCCGCGTCGGGCTCTGTGCTGACAGCTAGCTCAGAGTCTGGAGCCTGATTCAGATTCTGTGTCTCCCCCTCTCTCTGGCCCTCCCCTGCTCATGCTGTCTCTCTTTCTCTCGGAAATAAAACGTTAAAAACAAAACAAAAAAGGGGCGCCTGGGTGGCTTAGTCGGTTAAGCGTCCAACTTTCGCTTGGGTCATGATCTCACGGTTCGTGGGTTCGAGCCCCGCGTCGGGCTCTGTGCTGACTGCCAGCTCAGAGCCTGGAGCCTGTTTCAGTCTGTGACTCCCCCTCTCTCTGACCCTCCCCTGCTCATGCTGTCTCTCTCTCTCTCCTAGAAATAAATAAAAAAAAAACATTAAAAAAAAAATAAAAAAACAAAACAAAAAAAAACGAGTGCAGAGTGCTCACCTGCACACACTTTCACTTAAGTGCGTGTGAACGAAATGGGGCGCACAGAGAAAGCTACAGTCTCTGGAGTCTGCTGCCACCGCTGTAACCAGCGGTGCAGGGACGCGAGGGGCCGGGAACTGAGCCACAGGGCAGATGCCCCAGGGAGGGCGGGGCCAACTCACCCAGGCCCATGACAGTGCCTTCCTGCCTCTGGAACAGCCTGGGCGTCCTGCGTGGTCCTAGAGCTCCTGCTGTGACCAAGAGCTGGGAGGGCAGGGTGCACGTGTGTGCGGGTAGGAAGGAAGGAATTAGCTGAAGTCAAAGGCATGACCGGTGGTGCTCAGGAGCCTGCTGGTGTGTGGACAGAGCAGCTTCAGCACCAAGAAAGCACCCATCACGTGACAGGAGACACGTGGCAGCAACCTCGGGGACGGACAGCACACGGAGCCAGCACTGGAGGTGATTAGCTGGTCTGTGTGCTCAGCGTCACCTCTGTGGCTCTGGAGACAGCCATCTGCAGGGAGGGCCGCCCTACTGCCCCCCGACAGCAAGCATGTGGGGGCCTCTGTCCAGCACGGAGCTGTCCCAGCAGTGTTGCCCACACGCCCATCCAGTCAAGCAAGAGGTGGACACGGTGGGCGATGGGGGAGCACGCAGCAAGCAGTAGTACCTCCAGGGCCCGGACAGAGGGCGGCACTGGCTGAGCTGACCCCGGACGTGTTCGTCTAACAGCACTGAGCACAAAGCCCCTGGGGCTCACCAACGCGTTGCCCTCCCAAGCAGACCGGCCCACATACTCTGGAAATGACAGACGGCCCAAACGGGAGAGTGGAGCCAGCCCTGTGGTGGCCCTGGAGGTGATGGTGGGCAGAAAACAAAGTCTAACCCCGCCCCTCCCCCTGGGCCTTCTTCGAGAAAACTCTAATGTGGAAAACCTGACTTGCAGAGGAGGAGAGCCTCACCACCTCACCACAGGCTCTTGTGCGCTGGTGCTGAGCAGGGCCATGCAGGACCGCCACGGGGCAGCGCGGGCCTGGGGCTGGCATCCCTCCCGTCCCCTGCTCCTCACCCCAGCACAGTGGCCTGGCCTCTTCACCAGAAAACTCAGAGTCTCTATTTGTGAGTGTTCCTTGTACTACTGAGGTAATGACGGCCACCACCACTGACAACTTCTGACGCTCATGCTGCCAACAGCCTGGGCAGACACCATCCCAGGGAAGAGTGCCCATGCGCCGGAAAGAGTCGAAAGTAGGGCAGAGAGAGCTTTGCCAGAAACCCGCCCCATCTAGGGCGTGTGTTGGCCCTGAACAGCATCAGGCTGGGTCTGCAGCCAAGCCCAGCTGCACTGCCTTCTCCGGAGCCCCGTCTCTCTCTGGGAACCAGGGACAAAGCCTCGCTGTGACCTCCGAGCAAGTCTCACCCATTTTCTCAGCGACACGACCTTGGAAATGGGAACATTGCACAAAAGATCTCATTTCTCAGTCAGCAGATGGTCGGGGTGCTTCTGACTACAGCGACAAAAGGTAAGTTCAAACCAAAGGATTATGAGCCACAATGGACAAAGACTCACCTGTAACAGACAGCCCCAAGCAAAACCAGACCCTGCTGGTGGCGAGCCCTGCCTGGCCCCTTAAGAGCACCTACCCAGCCTGTTTCCCGACGTCGATCAGACACACACTGCACGGGGCTACGAGCGGCCAAGACACAGCAAAGGCACTACTCACTACAGCCGCAGGGGACAACAGGCCCGCCACTCACCTGCCTTCTGCTCCAAGGGCCCAGCACCCCGAGATCCTGATGTCAGGGTAAGCTGGGGGGCTGCTCATGGCTGGGACACAGGGGACAGCAGACAGCAGGGTGATCCCAGGTGGGTGCAGGAGTATCTCCACAGTGCCATTTAGACCCACAGTAGCCCCCTAGGACAGCTCAGGAGACACCTGAACCGTCCCTCCATGTGTGGGATGGCAGCACCGCAGATGAGGAGCTGGGGTGGCGTCCGGAGAGCCCCCCGTGTGGAAGGAACAGTACTCACTGCCGGCCTTAGAGGCTGAGGCTACGGGCATTAAGAGGATCACCCGGCTGGGGGCTGTGCACTCTCCTGATATTAATAGCATTGACCCTGCTGAAAAGAACAGTGTCCTGTGGCCCTGGCAGACCTCAGGCCGGCCCTGGGTATGAACTGCCCCTCCTGTGCACTGGCTGGTACACTGCTGGCCCAGTGCTTGCTGAGGACCACGGTGCACCCCTCCTAGAACACCATGGAAAAAACTTCAGATCCCAGGCCTGCTTGGGACTGTAAAGCCAATCCTCTCCTCCTCTCCCCCCGCCCCCAGAACAGGGAAATCTGAGGTCTCTCCTGGCCAAGCCTTGCTGAATGTCAATGCTGAACTGAGCGTCACACCCTTGGCCCCAAGGTGCCTTCTAGAGGCATAAACAAGCCTGAAACTTTACCCATCTGCCCCACCCCCTCCAGGGGAGGCTCCAGGACATCCCCCAAGGCCACCCAGTGCTGCATGTTTGCTGAGGACATGGTCATTCCTGAGCCTGGCAGCAGCAGGAAGAAGGGGTTCAGCCCCAGCCTCAGCAAGGGTGGGTCAGCCAAAAGATCTTTACTGCAGTGTGTGAAGGGGTCTCCATCCCTAGGCCCCCAGCTTCCTTTTCAGTTTTTCTCCTGACTTGGCTTCTAACATGGAGGCTCAGGGAAGAGAATATTCCACATGGGGTTCACACAGTGAAGAGGGACCACTCCTGGGAGCTGCCTCAGGAGCAGCCTCTCCTGGCTGCCCAGGTAACAAGGGGGTGTCTGCCTCCCTGTCCAGAGGCACTTGGAGGCAGGACTGAACTGTCCATCTTTGCGCACAAGAGCTTCTCCCTCCCGCTCCCTGGCCTGGACAAATGGGCAAGTGCTGGCCCACACTTAGGAGGCTGGAGGTGTCCTGGACAGGGCTGCAGAGTTAGGGCATGCAGCACCAGGGCCTTCACTCGTACCTAACACCCTGTCCAGGGTTAGGAAGTTCGCTGGATAAGTCAAATGAGGCCAGATGGAGGACGGAGGAGCTGATCCTCTGGGGCCTGACCCCAGTGGATCCCAGACTTTCTCAGAGACAGAGGTGTCAGGGTAGTTTTCTCAGGGCAGGTAAAATCGGGGGGTGGGGGGCAGGGGGAGGCTCCAGAGACTTGCACACCCCTTACCCCACTACCCTGGAAACCTCCCTGCAGAAGCCCCTTGTTCCTGCTGCTCTGGGCGGGGCCAGCCAACCTCCCTCCATTCCCACAGCTGCAAACCCATCTCCACCAGGACCGCACCAGGAGACGCCTCAGGGGTTCACTGTTGTCACCACAATTCTCTTTTACCCATCAGCATGTCCAGTGCTCAGGGAGTCAGAGGTCTCTGTCCTCACAGTGCTAACCTTCTAGAGGAGCAAGCAGACAAAAAACAATAGCAAGGTGGACAAACCACACCAATGTGTCCACGATGATGTGGAAGAAGCTGGAAGGATGGCCAGTGAGACCCTTAGCTCAGGGGCACTGGCACATCCACCTAAATGCCAACCAGACCCAGCTATGGGGTCCTCAGGAGGTGTGCAGGGACTGTGGGGGCAGCACAGAGAAACAGCCCTCAGGACACCAGCATCAGGGGATAACTGTGAAGCCCAGAGGCAGTGCCAGGGTAGACCCCATGGGATCTCTGGAGAAAGCGAGCCGGAGTCTCCACTTACTGCTCCCAGGTCCTGGTTCTCCTCCTATGACCTCTGCTTTTCTGGGTGACCTGGGGGGGACCCCATGCCCACGACTTGATTCTGCACACAGGGTGGGGCCCAGACTGCAGCTCCCACCAATCTGTGTCCCCAGGGAGCGCTTTTCTCAAGAAAAGCTTCCCTAGGGGCGCCTGGGTGGCTTGGTCAGTTGGGCGTCCGACTTTCGCTTGGGTCATGATCTCGCGGTTCGTGGGTTCGAGCCCCGCGTCGGGCTCTGTGCTGGCTGCCAGCTCGGAGCCTGGAGCCTGTTTCAGTCTGTGACTCCCTCTCTCTCTGACCCTCCCCTGCTCACGCTGTCTCTCTCTCTCTCTCTCTCCTAGAAATAAATAAAACATTTAAAAAAACGTTTAAAAAAAAAAAAAGAAAGAAAGAAAGAAAAGCTTCCCTAGCTTTATCATCTCTGACCTTGGGCTACCTCAAGGATTCTTTGGAACCAACAGGTGTCACAGACTCAGATCCTCTAAGACTGTCCCCCTGCGCCAGGCATCTAGCCACTTTTTGCTGGGAAGGCGTGAGCCCGGAAGCACACACGATGCTCCTCAGGGACTGGGTACCCTCTTGCGACCTGGCAGCTCCTGAGGAACTGTAATGGCAGGGCAGCCCTTGCCCACTCCCCTTGCTACCAAGGAGAGGTTGCCTGGCACCCAGACCATTCTGGAGGAATTTCTGCCTTGGAGAGTTCACCCAATCCCGGGATGAGATGCCTGGGCTGGAACCACGGTTTCCTTGGACCCCCACAACCTGTGGCCCTCATAGAGACTTCCTTTGGCACACTTTAGACCCAGAAGTGCAGGGGCCTGTTCCTGATCGCGGCTCAGCCACCGGCCCCTGGTGTGCCTGGCCCCAGAAGCGCTCAGTAGGAGCCCATTTCCTCCTGGCCTCTTCCGTCTCCCCAGTCAGGGTGACAAAATGACCCTGCCCCCGCTCTACGCCTCCAACTTCAACTCCTGCAAAGCTTCTCCAGAGCCTCGCGGTGCGGCACAACAGGTGGTGCAGTCCGAAGGCACCAGGCACCACCCCACCCCAGACGCAGGAAGCCTGGCCTCTCAGGTGCGGCAGGGGCTGAGTCCCGGCGGATTCCAGAACACACTGACCACCTCAGACGCTCCAGCCCAGGGCCCCTCCCCGTCCCCTCGGGACAGACACCAAAGTCCATGCTAGCCAGGTGCAGATTCCGCTTTATCCGCAGAACCTCGGACTGGGCGCCCAGCAGGCCCTGCCCACGAGCCTGGTGCCGCCGGCCATCCGGGAGCGGATGTCTCACCTCCAGGCTCAGCGCCGCCGGCCCCGCCACGCCCCGGGAACCTCTCACCGCGTCCGGGGGCCCCCCGCGTGTCCAGACCCAGCCCGTCGGGGTCGCCCCTGCCCGCGGGCCGGCGCCCCACAGCACCTCGGGCCGTAAGACGCCGGCTCACGCGGCGGACGCGAGGGGGCGTGCGCGGCCCCCAGCCCGCGCTCTGCGCCTACCGGTCCTCGCACGAGGTCTCGCTCCTCTCCGCCGGCCGGTCGGGCCCGTCTCCCGCCGCGGCGGGCGGCGGAGGCAAGCGGGGCGCGTCAGCAGAGGCTGGGGGCGCCGCCATGGAACTCTGAGGCGTCTCCGCGGGCCGCGGCTGGCCGCACCGGCCGCCGGGAATCGTAGTTCGGGGCTTCGCGCCTCACACTCTCTGGAGCGCCGCGCGGACTACAAGTCCCACAAGGCCGTGCAGCTTTGCGTGCCGGGACTCGTAGTCCAGCCTCATCCCCTAAGAGTGGGCGGATGGGCGTCATCTGCGGGGAAAGATCCCACCCCGAGCTTTACCACAAATTCAGCAGCACAAAGCCCCTGGAAAAAAATCAATAAACATTTATTTGATACAGTCATATTTAATACATACAGTTGATGGCCCACCCCCGCGCCACCTGGGGCCGGGGGCCGGGGACGAGGACTGGGGACAGATGGTCACAAGGCGGGCAGGGCCCGAGCTCACCGTCAAAACTTCTTGCAAATAAACACTTTGTAGATAGAATATATATGTATATATACGGTTACAAGTGATAGCTGGAACCTCTCTTCCGAAATGCACTTATGTACGGAGAACTGGCATTAAAAAACCCAAACCAAGAAACCCAAAGCACAGGTTGTGTGGCTGCCAGGCCAGAGGTACTGGCCGGCCCTCCACGAACCCCAGGCCTCCAGGGCAAGCCACCTGGGGCCCGTCGAACCGGACACAGGGGCAGCCCTGCCCTCCGTGGGTCTCGGTGCACCCATTCTCTCCCTTTTGAACCAGAGGGCCAGGAGGGGGGCTACCATTGGAAGGGCCACTGATCACCTCACACCAGGATACACCCTCGTCTGCTTTTGCACAAAGTGGATCCTATTTTTGTGTGAAGTATCAGCCCCTTGAGTCGGCCCTTTCCTGTTCTCAGGGCACAGGTGGGTGGGCTGGGCCAGAGGTAGATCTTCAGAGAGGGACCTGGCATTGTGCCCTGGGCTTGGGTCTTGGGCAGGGTTCATGCCCACCATGCCCTGGGGGTCTGCCACTCCAGTCCCTCTCACTGAAGGTGTCAATCAAGGCCAGGCGGTAACCTGGCTGAATTCCCACCAGGGTGGGAGGTGGGCAGATCCCGCTGAGCCACCCAGGGCTCTGCCCCCTCTGGAGGAGGGCTCTGCCCACCCGCTCACCACTGCCATTCACCAGAACACGGGAAGCAGGAAGGGAAGAAGGGAGAGAGGGGTCCGGCCCAACAGTCACTTTTGGCAGCAGCCCCCCACACCCACTTTAAAGACAAAGAAGGGGGTTAAAGTGCTAAACATCAAGTTATCCAGGACCCCACGTCTTCCCACACATCTAGGTGGGGTTCCCAAACCAGGGACCATCTGTGGACTTCAGGGGGTGACCTGGAAATTCACCCCCCAGCAAAAACCCAGCCCCCCACTCCCCAAGGGCCAAGTACCTGAGAGGCTGGGGCGGGTGGCCGTCCCCAGCAGAGGTGTTGAGGTCCAACCTCCTCCAGCCATTGGTGACAAGGACAAATGCACCTGGGGCTCCTGCCAGCACCTGCATCCCCTCCCTACCCAAAGCTGCCCCCCGCAGTGGCTGCCTGACCCCACCTCTGCCTCCACCAGCTGTATTACCATAGTGACCCCCAGGAACACAGACAAATCTTTCTGCCCGTGCCGCCCTCCCTTGACTTTTGACACTGGATCACATCCATCTGTCCATGACTCCAGTCTTTGATCAAATCAAGGTGTGTGAGTGGGGGTAGTCCAGGTCTCTAACCCCCTCCACCCCTCAAGAGCCTTCGAGCCAAAGGAAGGAAACTGGAGACGGGCAGCATGACCAGCCCCAAAGCCTCCCTGGAACCTGTCTCCCTACCTCAGGGCTACGAGAGTCGAGCCAGGCTTGGGGCCCCTCCTCTCCTGGGACTAAATGAGGACGGGAGCTGAGGGGCAGAGGTGCCCAGTCAGCACTGCCTCCCTGAGCAGGGGAGAGACACCCCCTCAGCCCCTAGATCCACCGTCGGCACCAGGAAACCCTTAGCACCAAAATGTCAGATTGTTGTTTTTGTATAAAAAACAGAATTAAAAAAAAGGTTGTTACTTGTCACAGCAACAAGACTGGCATCCACTACACCCAGGACACACGCACACGGGCAAATATCAAAATTCACATCATCCAGGATCGGCAAGGCCGAGCCCTCAGCCCACCCCTACCCCCCAGTGGGAAATAACCTCTGTCCAAACCCAGTGGCTCTGAGTACCCTCCTCCTCCCTACACTCCCGAAGTTGGAAAGTGGGGCCCAGGGAAGAGGCCAGAGGCAGTCTGGCCACCTCCTCTGGGTGCCCTGGACTCCAGCCTGAAGCCTGGTCAACCTGCAGACCTAGCCATCCTCTGGGCCCCAAAGGGGGCCAGTGCTGAGCCGCCACCAACACATGACCTTGGCCAAGCTCCCTCCTGGCCTTCAGCTCTCATATCAAAAGACCACTCAACCAGAAACAAAAGGGCAGGTAAAAAATGGGGAAAGGAGACTCCCATGGGAGCTTAGCCACAGGCCAACCCAGACCAGCACACAGAAGGCTGGTTCCCACAGGGATTACTCCCCAGAGCTGGGCCCCAGTTCCGTGCCCCACATGCCCGTGAGCCCCAGATTGACCCTAGAGCCCAGACTGGCCCATCCCTAACCCACTGGGCTGCCCCAACCTAGAGGAGTGGTATTAGCAAAGCTGGAGATTGGAGGCAAAGCTATGCTCCATGTGGCCCCCTTCCGCCCCTGCAGCCCTGCAGGTGAGAGCAGAACCCTCCCCTTGCCCCAGGCAGGGAGCACCCGTGAAGATGGGATGGCAGGAGACCCCTCTGTTAACAGGGCCACCTCCACCCACTGTGACAGACAGGGGCCAGTGGGGCAGGGGGCCCAAGTGTGTAGCAAGGGGGGGGGGTGTCACACAGGCAGGGGAGGGTGGGCCTGGAGAGGTAGAGAACAGAAGCAGAGGAGCCAGATGTGGAAGGACGAGGGAGGCCATGGCAGGGCTGGCTGTCCGGTCAGCGTGGCAGCAGTCAGACTCGGGGTCTGTCCTGGGAGGTAGCTGGGGGTGCTGGGGTCCAGTGTTGGGTAGAAAGGTGAGGCTGCTCAGGTGCCCTCATCAGCCCAGAACCATGGGTCACCGGGGACCCCAAAGCCTTGGGCCTGAGAAAGCAGATGGGGCATGGAGCTCGCATGGTGAAGGCCATCCGCCTGCCTTGCGCTGCCCCGTGGCACTGAGGCCTAAGCCACAGACCCTCCTCCTGCCCATCCAGGGTCCCAGACTCCGACAGGTCCATAAATGTCTCTCCAAGCTATTGCACTTCTGTTGCTGCCATGGGCCCTCCCCCCAGAGAACCAGCCCAGGTGCGTCCTGTGCAGCCTGCACAGGGGAAGGGCCACCATCATGAAGGAGAGAGGGACTGGCTGCCTCCGCTGGACAGATGAATAGGCAGGGGGGGATGGAGAACTGGAGGGCAGGGGGTGCTGGAGCTAGCTACCCCCACCCTGAACAGAGTGGGCTTGGTGTCCAGTGTGGGGACCAGGCCCCACCCACCTGCCAGCCACTATGCTCACTTCTCGGGAGCCTTGCTGGCTCCCACTTTCCGGCCAGTGGAGCCCCGGGCCCCTTTGTCTCTGCCTCCTGGGGGCCAGTCGTCCCGACGTGGGGGCATCTTCGGTGCGGGCTCCTCCGGGGTCCGCTCCTTGGGTTTTCGGCCTCGCTTCTTCCCACCTGCCAGACTCTTCTTCTCCTCCTTCTTGGGTGCCAGTGAGTCCTGGCTCCTTTGTTTGGGAAGTGGGTCGGCTGAAGTACGGAACCAGTTCTGGAAAGAAAAAAAACCACAATGCAGACCCTGAGAGGACAGTGCTATGCACTGGGGCCAGGCAGGCCGCTGCACTAAGGTGCCTCCTGCTCAGGGTGCCGGGGGTGTGGTACCCAAGCTTCTCTCGTCTTCTAGGGAGCCAGGACCCACTTTGAAAAAAAAAATACAACCCCCCAGATTTCTTTTCTTTTTTTTTTTTTTTTTTGGAAACCACCAGATTTTTCAACCTTGGCTGCTTGCTCAAAGGCCAGACAAGTTATTACCCTACCACTCCCGCCCAATCCCCTGCCTGGGGCCAGCCCATCTGCTGCAGGCTCAGCAGGTGTCTCGGCCCATCCCACCTCTGCATGGGTCTTGAGGATGTGATACTTGACGCCACTCTCAGAGCTAAACTCCTTCGGACACAGCAGACAGCAATACTTCCCCACCAGGTGGTCTCCCTGCAAGGCATAAGGCAGGCCAGCCCTCAGATACTGGACCCCACCCAGACCCTTGGGAGACCAGAAGCACCAGATCCAATCAGGGGACCCCGGCCCTCTTCCTGCGGCTGCGTGGCTATAGGGTAGGAGCAGCCACAGCTCATCCGGATGGGTGCTCAATGAATGAGCTTCAGAGACCCAGCAAGGCTTCTCTGTGGCAGGACCTCTGAGCTGACCCCGCTACAGGGGACATAAGACATAAGGAGAGGACAGGAAGAAGAAGATGCTTTGGGGAAGGGCTGCAGCCTTTGCCTAAGGCTCCTCACCCCAAGCCCAGGTCTACTGTGCCCTCTTATACCCACACAGACGAGGAGGCCCTGTGGGCAGAACAACTTGGGCTGACTGACTCATGGATAGGGTTGGAGACTGTGGAAGTGTCCTGGACTGGGTTGGCCATCGGGCACTGGCCAGTCCCTGAGCTCACGGAAAAGGCTGTCCTGCATGACTGGGGTGGGGTCACACACTCAACATGCAGGAGCCCCTAGGGATTAGCTGGGAGTGCAGAGCACCCACCCCACCATGGGAGAGGACCTGAGGACTGACCTTGCTGCAGCTGGCGAGATGGGCCTTAAGGCCAGACACACTGGAGTAGATGGCTTCACAGCACTGGGGACAGGAGACAACGGTGGGGGAGGGCCTCCCAGCAGATGTCCCCACACAGATAAACACGTACCACTAACCAAGGGATTATGGAGCCTCTCTGGGGTAAGGGGGGGGGGGCGGCTTGACCCCAGGAGTCTTGAGAGATGGGCAAGCTAGACCTCTAAAGCTGAGATTATTGGGTTCCATCTAAGGACCCCGCAGGGGCCGAGGGATCACAGGTAGGCTGGTCCCTTGGAGGCCTCCGACCCAGGGTTACACCTGGGCTCTTTATCCCTGAGCCCCGGTGTCCCCACACCCACATGCCAGCCTGTTCCAACTCACGTCATTGGGGCAGTTGACATGGCCTTTCTCCTTGACTTCGTTCTTCCACGCCTCCAGCAACTGGGGGTTAAGTGTGGGGAGGCCTGGCCGAGTGTAATTGAGCTGTAAAACCAGGTGAGAACCAGGGTGAGCCCAGGGGGCCCATACAACGGGGGGCTCCCGAGTGCCAGACCAGAGCTGACTCCACCTGCTCTAAGGACCTAACTGTGCCTTCCACAGATGGGAGATATGAACCCGGAAGGCCAACAAATGGCCCAAACTGTGGGGGGGGGGGGGCACTGCAGGGGATCACAAGCTAGGTCATATCCTGCTCACAGACAGGAGCTGGGGGTCAGGCAGCAGCAGCTCACCCGGGCAGTCTCCGGTACCAAGTCATCCTTCACCCGCCGCTTGGTCCAATCTCGAGCCAGTTCGTCCTCTGCAATCTCTTGCAGGTGGAACACGGCAACCTGGGCTGATGTGCGGCGGATGCGGCCACTCGGGGTCCGCTCGACACCCAAGAGGTCCTCCTTTTCAGGGGGCTTCTCTTCAGCCTCCTCAGGTGGCTGCAGAACACGGAGGCCAGGGTGAGCAACAGGACCCACACGGCACAGAGGTGCAGGGGTTAAGAGGCATGTGCTGCAGGCAGTGAATTCGGACACCCCGGGGTCCCAGGCTCGCTAGGCCCCACGCTCGTGGCCCCGAGAGAGGGGAGGAGGAGCACACGCAGCAGGTGGCACGTGACACGCATGCTTGGCCCCCAGGGGCGACAGGACCCAGTCCGCAGGCTGCTCACCGGGGCTGCGTGCTCCGAGCGCATGTGGTAATCGTGTCCAGCCTTGGAGCGGTAGGTCTTTCCACAGTGGGTGCAAGGAAACGAGGGGCTGTCCACCTCACAGGGAGGCTTCCCACAGCGCCGCTGGTGGTACTGGTAGCCCATGAGGCTGGAGAAGGCGGCCCCGCAGCCCTGGGGTCGGAGTCGGGTAAGTGGCCAGCAAGGGGCTGTTGTCCCACACCAGGCATCTAGCCCCATGCCACGTGCCCCGTCCCATACTGTGTGCCCAGGACGCTGCCGTCTCACTGACCTCCTGGGGGCACCGCAGCCGCCCCATCTGCTTCAGCACCTTGCGCAGCCGCTCCCGTTCCTCCTGCTCACTCCCCTCCGAGGCCTCAGCGTCAGAGGGCTGGGGGGCAGGCCCAGCCTTAATATCCCCACCACCACAGGGCCCCTGCCCCTGCCCAGGGGTCAGGGCCACAGATGTGCAAGGTCAGGCATGGGAACCACTAAGTTCTGCTGCCACGTGGTGATGAGAGGCCGGTGGGCAGGGCGGGGCAGGCAGGGCGGGGTGGGGGCGGCTGGTGGGTGGGTCAGAGCGTACCTTGGCGCTATGCTCAGCCATGGTGTGGTAGTTGAGGCCGGCCTTGGATTTGAACTGTTTCCGGCAGTGCTGGCACTTGAGAGCATCCTGCAGCTGCAGACATGCCCCTGTCGTGAGAAGCTGACTCTGGGCACTTCCCCGCCTGGGACCCCGGGGCAGCCTTACCTTCTGACACACCTCCATGTGCTTCTTAAGCCCCACGAGGGTCTTTCGGGTGACCACACTGCAGGTGGGGCAGACAGCCTCGCCCCGTTCATGGATGGCCCGCTGCCACTGCTCCTCAGGGCCACCTGTAGGGCAGGGCCAGGGCCTCAGGGGCTGGTGGGGGCTCCCGGACACCCTGGACGCCAAGCACAGGACTCACGGTCCACGCTCAGCCCCCAGTCCCTGTGGTCCAGGATCTGCCCCTGAGCTGAGATCCGTCCTGGGCCCTGCCTCATGGCAGCCCCCCCACCTGGAGCTGGGTGGGCCGTGGGGGCCGGCACTTCCTTGCTGACCGTGCTAGCAGGAGCCAGCACCTTCTTCCGCACGTCCTCGGGGCCTGGCCCCTCCTGCTTCTTGGCACGGTGCACGCGGGATTTGTCCTCTGCCTTGGTGAGGCCTGTGTGTACATACAGCACAGGGCAGGTGTGAGCCAAGGGGGCAAGCACACTTGTGCACATGTCCACCCCCAGATGCCATACTGGCTAGGGCCTCACCTTTGAGTCCGAAGGTCCCTGAGATGGACGGCTGCTCCCCTGTAAACTTCTTGGGTGTTTTCTGTTTCCTTCCTGACTCGGGGGAGAGAAAACAGGGCCCAAGGTTCTGGTCAAATAACCATCGGGAGGCCTGGGCCAGCAGACCCCTCCTCCCACCCCAGCCACTGGCCCCCCGCTCTCGTCTTACTGTGCTTTGTGCGCTCCGCTCCCTCCTCAGGGGGGGACACAGGGCCGGTGGCCCTCGGTGCCTCCTTGCTCCCCAAGGGCCTGCTTCCCAGAGAAAGGGGGCTGCTGCCGGGGTCTGTGCTCAGCTGGAAGGCCGAGGTGTGGCCCGTGGTGGACGGCCCATACTCCCTGTTCTCCGGCCTCGCCTGCTTTGGCAGGATGGGACATGCATCCAGGCTGTCCGCAGCCCTGCAGGAAGCAGACAGGTGAGGGGCAGGAGGGCCCACTTTTGACCCTGTTACCACCTCGAACCCGGAAGGAGCCCCCGTACCTTTTCTTACCACTGCTCCTCCCTGTGGCACGAGGAGTTTTGTTCTCAGACTTGGTCAGCAGCACCATTTTGCAAGGTGGTGTGTGTCTGCTGATGGCAATGGGCCTGCTGACCGTCACTGGCTTACTGACCACAATGGGCCTGCTGACCGTCACCGGCTTAGTGACTGGCACGGGTTTCGTAACCGTCACAAGTTTTGTCATCGGCACCGGTTTGTTGATGGTCACTGGTTTGGTCACTGGCACGGATTTGGTGACTGACACTGGCTTGTTGAGACTCACTGCCTTGGTGACTGGCACAGGTTTGGTGACCGGCACAGACTTGGTGACTGGTATGGGTTTGGTGACCGGCACAGGCCTGCTGACCGTGACAGCCTTGGTGACCGGAACAGGTCTGCTGACTGTCACTGGCTTGGTGACTGGTACAGGCCTGTTGACTGTCACTGGCTTGCTGATGCCAATAGGTTTGCTGACACCCACAGGTTTGCCAATAGTGACAGGTTTGCTCACTCCAATGGGCTTGCTGACCCCAACAGGTCGGCTGATGGTGACGGGCCGGCTGACTGAGCCAGGCTTGGGGGCAGGCAGGGGTCGGTCCATGTGGTTCCAAATCCGGTGCTTCTCCAGCTGGGTCTTGGAGGTGAATGCAGCCTCACAGAAGGGGCAGGGAAAGGTCAGCCTTTCTGAGATGGCACCCTGGGTGGAGAGGGCAGGCATGGGATGGCAGCAGAGGCCTCGGCTCAGACACACCCTGAACAGACAGGTGGGGCAGGGCGGGCCCCAGGCCTCCTTTTCCCTGCCCCATAGCCCCTTACCCCTTGGCACCGCTGGTAGTGGTACTTGAGCCCGTAGATGCTGGGGAACTCCAGCCAGCACCCTGAATTTGGACACTTCACCCTTGAGTGCGCCTTGAATTCATCTTTCCACTGGTTCATCAGGGAGAGCTGGGCATGGAAAAGGCGAGGCCGCTGACCCCTCAGCCAGCCAGGTCTCTGCCAACCCAAGCCCCAGACTCAGTACCCTCCCCAGGCCTACAAGGCAGACAGGCTGCGGCAGTCCTTCAACCTCAGGCCTACAGCAAGATTCAGGCCACCCCAAGCAGGGATGGTGTACCTGACCTGTTCTAGAGCCCCACAAACGTGGTCCCCTAGGTCCCAGGCCACACCGTGAAGCCAGAAAGCACGGAGCGACCTCTGATGCAGGCTGAGGGCTTGGGGCTGGATGTGTGAGAAGCGAGCAAAGGCAGGGTAGTGGCCTTGGCAAGCAGACCCCAGCATGAGTCCCACCCCAGCCTTCAGAGAGCTCACAGGAATGTCTCGGAGGGCCTGGTTCTCGGCTTTCGGACGCCCCTTTTTCTTCCCTTCTGTCCTGTCACTGGCTGGACTTCCTGGATCAAAGCAGAGTGGGCCCTGGCTGGGCACTGTCTGCCCACCCCGGACCACCGGCATCCCTGCAACACACAATATGCGAAGGCTTGGAAGCTGCATTTCCCACAGCCTTGCCTGCCATCCAGGGCGCTGGTCAGACCTGAAGTAAGCCCCACCTCCCCCACAGTGAAGCATGGAGACTGGGAGACTCTGGTCACTACGACAAGAATCCAGAGGCCCAGGCTGCCCCACCCTGGGAAGGCTCTTAAGAGCCCAGGTGGCCCAGTTGGGCACCCAGGAGCTAGACCACCTGGGAGCTGGGAGCAGAGGAGGAGTCCCACAACCAGTAGCAACTGCCTGTGGTCTCCGGGAGTTGACCCCGGCCTGATCCCTCTTACCCAGTTTTGGTGGGTCATGCAGAACAGGAAGTCGGACTTCGTTCCGGCCTCCATCCTTCCCAGGTCCACTCTTGGTGGACCCTGGGAGCCGGCGGCCTCCTCCAACACAGAAGGGATCAGTCATTTCTGCAGAGCAACAGACAGATGTGTCAGGCCCACCAGGCCCGACTTAGGACTTGAAATGGGCTGCCCTTGAACCCTGCCCCCAGACAGGGCTTTCTCCGGCTCAGGGGAGGAAAGCCTGCCCACCTGTGTATGTGGCCGCATGGGAAAGTAGGTGATGAAGGCTTCTGGTTTAGGAGAGGGGCTGCCCAGCTGAGGTCTCCCCAGATTATCCAGGAGACACGATCATCTTGTAAGCACCTAACTCTGTCCTGAGACCCTCATCAGCTCTCATAGACTTCCAGACACAGTCCTAAAATGTGCCCAGAATCATACCTGGTACTGGGCTGGGGGCAGCCTCTGGAGAGGTGTAGTGTTCAGGGAGAAAGAAAGCAACAACACCCTTCCCGGGAGTCAGTGATGACACCAATATGGCTGTTAGCTCACAAGCTGTGCTGGCCCAGCACCTTGGGACACCGTACTCCACAGCCCCACCCAGGCTGAAGGCAGTGCCGCCCTACCGGGACATGCACCCCTGGATCCTTCTCTCCAGGACACAGATGGAAGATGGCCAAGGCGGGCACTGAGGGCCCCTAGCCTACTCCTCAGCTGAGTAAATTCCAGGGGGAAGGGGTGGCGGGGGCAGATCAGGGACTGAGGATCCCATCAGCACTTAGTTCTAGTCCCCATGCCAGCTGAACCACCCTACCTGACCCTCTTCTCAGCCTTGTCTCCAGCAGGAATCCGTCAGCCACCCTCTACCTGGCTAACCTCCTCCCCACCTCCACCCTCAAAAGCCTCTCTGTCCCCCACCTATAGGCCCATCAGTACCACCCCAGAAACTGCCAGCCATCTCGGCCACAGGGATTACCCGGCTGCTGAGGCTGGACTTCCCTGGGCCTGTTCTGCTGGGGGACTCCAGACCCTCAGAGCTCTGGGAAGGGACTCTGAGCTCAGCCCTACTGGGTCCTCTCACAGGGACACCCAAGGCCACAGGAAGGGGGTAGGGGGCAGTTGTATGGGCAGGCAGCCCCTCCTCTGGCAATTCTTAAGGAACTTACATCACAGGGGATGGGGAGGGGATCAGCACCTAGAAGGGGTCCAGGGACTGAGGTCAGAGATAAGGACAGTCACCGCCCATTACCAAGGGGGTGCCTGTATCCTGAGCTTGGGGGGAGGTCTGGGTCTACATGGGCCTAAACAAACTTCTCTGAAGTCCTCACACCAAAACTTCCAAAGGAGACATGCCAGCATCAGTCACCCCAACCCCATGATGACTCCAACAGCCTGGGGCGGGGGTGCCTACCAAGAACCCCCTTTGCAATCTCTCCAGCTTGAGTGGAAAATTTAGAGCTGGGGGGCCTAGGGCCAGGGCTGGCCTAGGGGGCAGACACCCTCCTTCCATCCAGGACCTGTGACTAGAACGACACGAGGAAAAGAGATTCCACCCTGTCGGAGGACCCAGCAGGGTGGCAAAGGTGGGACCCTCGCAGGGGGAAGGGGCCCCACAAGCAACGCTGGCGGGGAGCCCTCGGCCCAGGCCGGGCGCGCGGATGAACCCGGCCAGGGAGCGCACACCTGGAGACTGGCCTCGCCACCCACCTGTCACCTGCAGCCGGGGTACGGGGCCCCGGCCCGGCCCCGAAAGGGCCGATCGCCGGCGCAGGGGGGGAGGGGGGGCGAAGGCAGTGAACCAAAATGGCGACTTTTTCTGGAGAAGGAGGAGACAGGAGCGCGGCGCCGGCGCGGGGCGCGGGGCGCGGCGCGGGGCGGCGGGGGGGGGGTGTCTGGGCGCGCCGGGGGGCGGCGGGCGGGGGCTCCGGGCCCGCCCCCCCCACGACCTGCGTGCGGGGTCAGGGTCGGGGACGCGGCCGAGCGCGGGCTGCCCCAGGGTCCGGCCCAGGGCGCGCCCGGGTGCTTACCTGCGGCGCCCTGCGGGACGGCGGCCGAGGCGGGGGGCCGGGGCCGGGGCCGGGGCGCGGGGCGCGGGGCGCGGGGTCCGGGCGGCGCAGGCTGCGCGCCGCGCTGCGCACATGCGCGCTCCCGCCCCTCCCACCTTTGACAGTTTTACTGTGGGGGGGAGGGGGCGAACTCTCGCGGTATTCCTGCAGCCGATCCGCGACGGGGAGGAACGGGTTGGGGGGAGGGGGCCCATCGGCCCGGCCCCCTCTGCTGGCTCTCGGATCCGTCGCCTCCATCCGCTGGGGCTCCAGTGCAAAGTGGCCAGCTATGCCACCCGTAGGGCAAGAGGCGTTTTTCAGGCAGTGGGGTAAACTGAGGCACTATAGGGGCGCTGGGAACTGCCGCAAGCCCAGTGTACGCGGATTGAAGCCACCAGATGCCTCTAGGTGTTGGCCCTAGGAAGGTGCAGCAATGAAGACCACCGTCCTCTGGGAGCCTGAACTCCTGGCCTCTGGGAGATTGGGGCCTGCAAAGCAGGATCTGGATCTTTTCCCACCAGCCCTGTGACCACCTCTGCCTGTGGCCACAGTCAGGAGATTGCCTGGCTACTAACAGTGCTGGGACAGTTTGAGGCCATGGACTCTCTTGAGGTTACTGACCATTGGACCAGGCTCTGTCTGTTTCAGGCTCTGTCTGTTTCTAGACCAATGGCTAGGGCCAGTGCCTTGCTCTGCTGTGGCCCAGAACCCAGGGGGCACCGGTATCAGGTCTGGGGGTAATGGGGCACTATCCCTACCAGGGTTTGGGGATGAATGAGGCAAGGGAAGAGGTGCTAGTTAGGAAACATAGTTACAAGGTGCACCTCTGTCCCTGAAGCCTTCCCCCCCCCCCACGCCTATCCCCAGTCCACCTTCCTGTCTACCCTGCAGCAGGTTTGGGGCAGAGCACAAAAGACATCGTCAGATTGGAGTCTGCCTCTTCTCATAGGGACTCTTGAGAACTGCTTCTTGAATGGCTGGCACAAAGTGCTCCTGGAGAGAGGGGTGAGGGCCCTCTGTGGAGGGTTCACTGGGTAAGAACTTCCCTTGGAAATCAGAGCCAGGGAAAGGCCATGTGACCCCCGGAGGGAGAGGAAGTGTCCTTCCCTTGTTGACCGTGCCCACCCTGGGGACAGGACATCCAGGATTTAGGGGAGGGGTCAGTGTATGAGATGCAGCCAGGTTTGTCATCCTTCCCCGTGTAAGTCTGCATGTCCGCGAATGGAGCGTGTCAGTGTCTGTTGACAGGTGTGTGCCTTCATAACCACATATGCCAGGCAGTGTCCTGTGTAGACATCTGACATTCAGGTATGTGTATGTGCCCTGTACTAGGGGAAAAGGATGCCTGTCTGTGTGTTAGTATTCAGGTGACTAGTTGCAAGGTGTGTGTGTGTGGAGGGAAATCTGTATCTTAGCAGATGTGTCTTCAGACTACGGCATGTCTGGACGGCAGGGCGTTGTGTGTGCTGTGCCCTCTGTGTCTCTGTATGTTAGGGGGTTGCTATGCGTCACGGTGTACCGTGGATCTGGAAACGAGCATCACTGTGTCTCTGTGTCTCCGGACTCCTATAAGCAGTTTATGCCTCTGTGTTGCCATGTGGCTGGTTGCTGTGTGGGTACATGTGTCAGGGTGTTGTTGTGACCTATGTGTTCCCTGTGTCAGGGCATTACCCTGTACAAGGGGCTTAATGGGGCCCCTCCACAGATTGCCTGTCAAATCCCTGGAACCCACGGGATGGAACCTTGTTTGGAAAAAAGGTCTTTGCAGGTCTTCTGAAGTTAAGGGTCTTGAGATGAGAAGATCATCTGGGATTATCCAGGCGGGCCTTAAATCCAGTGACAGGTTTCCTTGTAAGAGAAAGATATGACACAGAAGGCGATGTGACCCCAGGGGCTGAGATGGAGTGATGTGCCGCGAACCCAGGAATCCCTGGGACAGCCACAAGAAGCTGGGGGAGGTGAGGAAGGGTTTGACCCTGTGCTCTGCGGGCTTTCAGACAGGTGGCCTGCGTTCCTGTGACAAAATCAGTTTCTGTTGTGTTAAGCTTCCCAGCTGGGTCGTTCGTTTTGGTGTCCCCGGGAAAGTAATACAGCTGTGTCCCTGCATCTGGATGCAGTCCACCGGGCTGAGCCCCCGATTCCGCACCTGGCCCCGGGGGTAAACAGGTGTGCGGTCACGATGCGACACCACTGCCCCCTAGTGGCCCTGTGGAGGCACCTGAACTGGGCACCGAGCACCCCCTCCTCCCACCGCCAGGGACCCTCCACCCAGGACGCCTCCCACAGTCAAACACCCAGTCGGCCTGAGCCAAACACCACACTGGGGCACTTGAGAACCAGGTTTATTTCTGGTCTTTTTGTCAGAATATAAAAAAAGCGCAAAACAAAGAAGACAAGACAAGAGCATGGCAGGGTGGGGGCAAGACAAAGCAGGGAGAAGGCTGGGCAGTGATAGGAAGGGCCCTCTGGAGAAAACGACGCTGTGATGGCACCAGGTGGGCGGGGACAATCAGGTGGACAGACAGGATGGGGGGCAGCAGGCCAGTTATCCAAATTCCACTCAGGACCTACAACAACCAGCCTCCGTCTGGAGGCCGGCTTGGGGTACAGAGAGGAGGCTGGAGGCTCAGCCTCATCTGTCCCTGAGGTGTTCAGAGCCCCACAGAGGAGGGGGCGGGCAGAGGGGCAAGCGCGTGGGGGCAACATGGAGGGCCGCCCTCACTGCCCCTCTGCTGGGCAGCACCAGTCCCAAACCCTGGGTCCTCTCTCTCACAGAGTGGTTGCTCAGGTGCTGGCTGGGTCCCCGGTGGGCAGGGGTTGGGGGCACAGCCCTCAGGACAGTCTTTTGTGTGAATTCAGATTTTCCTGGGAGAGGGGCAGTGAGAATACATGCCCACAACTGTCCCTCAGAGGCGGCCTCCACAACCGTGGGAGGAGGGGGACACCCAAACCCAAGGCCAGGACACGGCTGAGCGTGATCCCGGTCATGGGGTTCTCGTGTTGCTGGGTTAGGTCTTGGGCACCTGAGGAATCCCCAGACCTCTCTTGCTTCAGTTCCCAGGAATAGATGGGGGCGTGGTGAGGGTTTCAGGAATAACGAGGGAAAGCGCTTGGTGTGGTGTGCCCGGCAGCTGCTGCTGCTGCTGATTATCTGGGTGGGGAAGGGGAAGGGCACTCGCCAAAGGGAGCCCCCACAGCTTACTCCGCCTGTCCTCTAGGTGCTGGGTGAGGGTGTAGAACTGGACAAATGGACAGATAGACCTCTTGCCCTGGGGGAGGGCAGGATGCCCAAAGGAAGTGTGACTCAGCAGGCAATAGGGCACAGACATCAGTGTGGGTGAAGGGAATATAAATAAACAGACTCCCCGGGAGTCTAGGGGGATAAACAGACCCTGCTCTGGCTCCAGGTGGCTGCCCCGCATGCTGCCAGCAGCACCAGAGGGTGCACTTGGGCTCAGGTCCTGCAAGGAAGGGCCACACTCGAGCAGCCTGCACCTGCTCAACAGCCCAGAATACATTGCCATCCTGGTCCCACCTGTCCACTGGGCTGGGCTCAGCACCTGGGGCCTCTTGCAGGGTCCAAAAGGGGCTGTGTGCCAGCTCTGCATCGTCCTTGCCACAGGCTCCGGTCACAGTGCTGGGGTCTGGGGTTCAAGCCTCAGGCAGCAGCTAGGACATGTTTCCAAAGGAGGCTATGGGTGGATGGGGGGGGGGGGGCGAAGGGGGAGATCTCTGGCATCTTCCACTCTGTCCCGGGCACAAGATGGCCCTTACCAGATTCCTACAGCTGCCCTCCTGAGGTCAACCCACCCACCCTCCTCTTGGGCCCCAGAGCCCAGCCTCTTCCCCACCCCCAAGCCTCTCCAGTGCTCCTGGCTCCTCCCACTGACCTTGGCTGAGCAGCTGCAGGCTCCGCCCCTCCTCGCGCACCTGCAGGCGCAGCACCTGCTGCAGCACCTCCTGTCGCTGTGCCTCCTGTGCCAGCCCCATCCGCTGCAGTTTCTCCCCATTCAGCCGCAGCAGCGCCCGGCCTGGGGGAGGGGAGGAGGGGTCAAGCCAAGGTCAACATCTAAGGGGCATTAAGAGCCAAGGCAGAGAGAGAGAGAGAGAGAGGAGGGGGACATAGACTTTAAGTAAAAGAGAGGCAGAAACAGAGAAATAAGGAGAGGGAGAGACAGACCAGGAAAAGAGGGGACAGACAGAGGAAAGGCAAGGACGGATAGAGCCTGGGCAGAGAAAAGCCAGAAAAAAATAGAAACGCTCTGGGGAGGCAATGGAAGATTCTGCGAAGAGACAGCTCTAGGAGGAAAAACAGAAGAGAGAATGATAGCAAGAAATGATAGTAAGAGAAACTGAGGCAGGCTGGGGGGAGGCTCTCCAGGGAATCCTTAAGCCCCTCCACCTCAGCCACCAAGGGTACCTGTGATGGCGTGCTGGGAGAAGGCCTCCACGTAGATGAGGTAGTTGTGGGGACAGTGCTTCTTGAGCCACTTGCAGACGTCCTGCTGACTCCACAGGACCACAGGCCTCGTCAGGCCGCCTAACGAGGGACTTGTGTGGTACAGACCATAGTGGTCGGAGTATAGCCGGCCCTGTGGGGGAGATGGGTGGCAGGTGGAGTGAGCTGATGGGGAGGGCAGGGGCTGAGGTGGGTACGGTGGGTGGGTACCTGGGGGGCCTCTGTGCCAGGCTGCTGCAGGAGCTTGACTGGCCGGCCGCCAGCGGCCCTCTGGCTACGGGAGTCATGCCACGTGAGGCTGGTGCCTGGTGTCCGAGGCAGGTGGCAGGGGATGCTCTCAGTGGACACTGTATGCTCCAGGAAGGTTCGGCAGAAGCTGAAGTGTGCCGTGGCTGCAGAGCACGGGTGCGTGGTCAGAGTGACCAGGGGCAGGGCCAGAGGATCCTCTCTCTGCAAACCAGCACCCTGCTCAACCCACCTTCCCTCCCAACACAGGGAGCCATCTTCCCGGTTAGAGGTTCCCAACCCCCCAAAGGCAGAAAGGAAGTTCACACGAGAACTGTCTCGAGTACCCACCCAGCCCAAGGGTGACGACCTAGAGACACCTTTCCCCTTCTGAGTGTACAGCTCATGCCCTGGGGGAGTAGGACTGTGCTTAAAGAGGGAGTGTGCTCACCAGGGAACCTAAGACTTCTAGGCCTGAATGGACTCTGGGCAAGCCAACAACCAGGATTGCTGCTCCTCCACCTGCCGCAGAGCCCTTGGCCCAGGACAGCTCCCGTGGGTGGTGAGCTTCCAGAGGGCGTGGGCCGCTCAGCACAGGTGTGCAGGGCCAGCCATACGCGCAGAGAGCCACAGTGACAACTTGCACCCTCTATTCCCCACACAGACTTCATCTTACTCTTGAAGTTTCAGTTTCACCCCCATTTCTGGGCTTGTTGCTCACATAGGTCATGGGAGGGCAGACACCCAGATGAGCACCTCCCAACACTTTGCACAGGCCTGGGCACAAAGGAGGTGCCCAGAAATATTGTGGATTAATGGATGGATGGGTGGGAGGGTGGGTGGGTGGATAAAGGCTCTGTATGGTATCCACAAGTCAACAGAACCCCTGGGGAGAGATAGGAACCTGGGCCCAGGCTTGCCCTCATCTTTACAGCACCCAGGCCCCAACTCAGCAGGCAGAATCATGTTCTTGGCCAGGACCCTTGCCTCACTGGCTCTCATCAATAGAATGAGAGACCCTGACTCCCATGGACACAACCTCACAGCCACAACTGAGGGCACGGTTTGGCAATGAGCCCAAGAGGTCTCAGTAATGGGGAAACCCATTACTTCCCCTCCTTTTACCCCTCAAGATTCCTTCGACTTAGCACCCTCCCCCCCCTTCATTCTTGCAACTTCCTGGAATTTGATGACACCAGGTGACACTAAAATTGAAGTCCAGGTGTGGTGTGATTGCCCCGACGTGGCTTCTACTATCGTGGAAAAGGACTAATTTTTCAGGACACAGGTGCCTGAGCTGTTCGGCCTCGCATCGAAGGGCCTCGCGGAGACATGCAGGGCCAGGGCCCGAGAGCCAAGCTCTGGGCGAACCAGTCGGACGCTACCGAGCGCGCTGCACCTGTCGGGGTACAGCCGGGCCCCGCCCATTTCCTGCCCAGGCACCCGGACGGATCTCCATCTTTCCGTCTGTCTGCCCGTCGTTCCGTCCCTCCCTCTTAGCCCCAACGTCAGAATTCCAGCATAAAACGGGGCGGGGGCGCCGAAGCCTGACTGTGGCCTCGGCTCCCTGTCGGCCCGCTGCAAGAGCTGGGGAAGGAAGGGCGCGCGCGCGAGGGAAAAGGAGACCGCAGGATGATGCGAGCCTGAGGACAGGAGCCCCAGCCGGTAACCTCCTCCAGGCCAAGGGTGCGCTGACCCCCGAGGCCTGAAGCTACCCGCCCCTCGCCCCAGCTCAGGACAAAGACACCGGAGACCCCGTTCGGCCAGGACGCGCCCCCCAGTCCGCGCCAAGCCGCCACTCGGAGTCTGCCAGTTCCCGCCCCCGACCCTCTCGGTCCTCGAGCCCCCAACCCGCGATATCCCCGAAGCCCTGCTCACCGTCCACATCCCGGCGCTCCCCGAAGCCGGCGCGCACAGCCCCGGCGCGGCCTCGCGGGGGGCTCAGCTTAGTCCTTAGCTCCGTGAACATGGGGCCCAAAGATCCCGGGCCCGTGCACACGCCCCTCGCCGGGCGCAAGGCGGCCCGTGTGGCCGGCGGGGAACGCGCGCCGCTGCCCCGCCCCAGCCGGCCCCGCGCCCGAGCCGGTCCCCGCGCCCGAGCCGGTCCCCGCGCCCGGCGAGTCTGCGCGGCGAGGCACCTGCCTCTGAGCCCTGAGTGCTGGGCGCGCTCCGGGAGCTCCGAGGTGTGTCGGCGGCGCGCAGGTCTGCGGACGCAGAGGGTGTCTGCCAGGGTAAGGGGCGACCTTGCGCACCTTGGCATGGCTTCAAGGACCAGTGATTCTGTGCACCTATACGGAGTCCAGACGTCTGAAAGGGCTTCTGAGGCAGGGAAATAAGGATCCGATCTTCCTTGCGGGGAAGGGGCAGGAGGGGAGTATCCTACCTGCTCCTGGGATCTTCTGTCCAAGGGCGCCCAGGTCAAAGGTCAGGCTGATGCCTCGCAACCACTTCCCTCCCCCCACCCCCCGCCCCGTTCTCCTACCTCAGATTACCGACTCACTCCTTTATTTAAGCATTCTGTACATCTATCCAGAGGTCTCTTCCTCAAACGGGCACTTGCTTCCCTAGACCCTCTCTCAATCCCCACCACAATGTGAACTCCAGGAAGACAGCCAGGGTGTCTCCCCTTCCCTCCGTAGCCCCAGAGGCCGATCTGACTCAGTACTCAGGATGTGGCACCGAAAGTGGCTTGGCTGGCAATGGGGACGAGAGAGAAGCTCCGAGAAGGCTGCAGCAGGCAGGAGGCATGTGTTTTTTCTAGAACTCCACTGAGAAGTGCTAGGGTGGGCTAGGCACTGCCCTGCTAAGAGGCTACCCACTGAGTTTTGCCTGCTCTGTCAAGAAGCTGAGCACTCTCCCCTGTGTATGTGGGCTGCTGGAGGATGTTCCACAGAATGAACAATGGTACATGTGGAGATATAGAAATGTATGCAGACTAGTCATGTGTGTAGACCCAGAACACCAGCACAGGTGATCTGGCTGGTACGCATGTCCACCAACACACAGAGGCAGGGATTCGCACAGAATTCATCCACACGTTGTGCCACACATGCCCACATACCGAAGTGTTCCCAACATATCTATTGCATTTACTTATTTTCTCCAGTTAACTCTCTAGGGGCTGTGCTTCTGCCCTCACTGCCATGTTCAAGGTGTGCTGGGGGTGGGAGTGGAGCCCGTACAGGGACTGGTGCTTGAATCGGAGCCCGGGAATCTGAGCGCTGAGAGCTAGAGCAGCAGCCTGAACACTAGGGCACGCGCAGGCAGGTGTGCCCAAATCACCACACGTACACCGCACACAAACTGTCCACAACTAGTCAGGTGCAGCCCCGCTCAGATGTGTTAAGGCCTGGCCCAGGGCCAGGACAATCCTGCAGGCAAAGGTGAACGGTTAGGCCTGATTTTGAGGGATCCCTTGGCGGCTCGGCTGACTCAGAGAGGGGGGGACCCATGGATCCCGCTCGTGCAGGCAGGTCTCCTCCGAATTGCGTCGCAAGTACGCTGAGTTTTGAGGTCTTGCAGGGGTTTTCCAGGACGATGTCCCTCCTGGAGATCCCCAGCAGGGCGGTTCGCGGGCAGTCCCACTATGCGACGCTACCACGCGTGCGCTTGCCGCATCCCCGCCCCTTCACCGGTGCCGGAAGTCGCTTTCAGGAACATCCGCCCGGGGAATGCGGAGTGGGCGGGGCTTCGTGAGGCCCGCGACCTTTGCTTCCGGGGCGCGGGTGACGCCGGGCCCGAGAGCTCTTCCTGCTGAGAATCCTGGGACGTCTGTGGTCTTCCGCCTTCGGCCGCGATAGCCGCCTTCCCTTCCCTTTCCAGCGGTGGTCGTCACCGACGCCATGAACAAGAAGAAGAAGCCGTTCTTGGGCATGCCTGCGCCTCTCGGCTACGTGCCGGGGCTGGGCCGGGGGTGAGGCCGGGGCGAGCCGCGCTTGAGGGGCGGGAGCGGGCGGCGCGGGCCCCGGGGCCCGGCGAACAGAGAGGGCCGCGCGCGCTTGGGGAAGAGGGGTTGCGGGCCGGCCCGGGCAAGACAGTCCTCACTACCGACACTTCTTCTTGGGAATCAGTCGGATTTGGGGAGCTTGCCGATGGCGACGGGGAAGATTTCTCGAGACGGATGATAGATTAGGATCTGTGGCCACACGGAAAGACATCACTGGGTTTGGTTTAATCCTTGTAGGAAGAATCATGCTTTGGGACCGGGACAGAGCTGAGTACCACTTCTGCTTGCCCCCTAGGAGATGCGAGACTTGGGCTTTGACCACGCGTTGGTTGTGAGCCCGTTTTTGGATCTATAAGATGATGTGTGAGCAGGTCTACAGTGAGGAGTAGGTGAATCTTTGACGTGTAGTAAGGACACCGCGGCTATTCTCCCCAAGCAGACCCCGGACCCTTGTCGAAAGCATAAGTGACCCTTTACCGGGCCAGGTTCCTCTGTGTGTCGGCTCGTTGGTCGTCATACACTGGGTGTTGGAACTCAGCTCAGGGGGCAGGACATCTGTGAGGCTTGTGACTGGGTCTCCCGTGGCTGTCACACGGATTACGACCATAAGTGATTGAATAAATGAGCAATCATTATTATTCTGTTTATTCATTTGTTTAGGGAAACTATTGGGTTTCCTTGTGGGGGTTAGGGTTAGAGTGGGGAACACCTAAGTCTCACTTACTGACACCGTCTTCAGAGGGCCTCCTACGGGGAGAGGTGAGACATTTGCGTTACTAAGTACATAAAGAGGAATAGATTTATTTTTTAAATCTTTTTCTCCTAAAGTTTATTTATTTTGTGAGAGAGATCGCTGACGTGCACATGAGTAGGGGAAGAGCAGAGAGAGAGGGAGGGAGAGAATGAATCCCAAGCAGTCTCTGCGCTGTCAGTGAGGAGTTGGATGTGGGACTTGAACTTACAAATCGTGATCAAGAGTCATTGAAGGAGCACTTGCATCCAACTTCTACCCAGGTCATGATCTCAAAGTTCGTGAGTTCAAGCCCCGCTTGGGCTCTGTGCTGACAGCTCAGAACCTGGAGCTTGCTTTGGATTCTGTGTCTCCCTCTCTCTCTATGCCTCCTGCCCCCATATAAATAAACATTAAAAAAAAAAAAAACATTGAAAAAAAAAAAGTTGACACTTAACCGACTGAGCCACGCAGGTGGCCCTAAAAAGGAACGGATTTGGAACTCTTTGGCCCAGCAATCAGGGAGTGCTCTATGTAGTGGTAGCATTTGAGCCCCACTCAGAGACCTGGATTTAGAGATGTAGAAATGTGTGAGACTGACACTTTGTGTGTTGGGTGGTTAAGAAAAAAGGCCTGGCATGGAGAAAGATGAGGGGCTCTCAGGGAGTCTGTGTGGGTGGAAGGTGCAGGGGTGGAGCAGTGCTGCAGGAGGTCAGAGGGGCCATAGCTCCTGTAAGAGAGGCAGAGACCTCAGGAAGCTATGGTCAGAGCTGCGCTGAAGCGAGGAGGCAGGAAGCAGGGGTAGCTGAGTTGGTTCCCAGCTGTGATGGGACTCAAGGTTTGGGGAGACGGGATCTCAGAGGCAGACTCAGTAGAACTTGGTGACTGACAGGACAGAGGCACGGGAGGCAGCGCTGATGCCCTGGTACCCGCCTGGATCTTGGGATGGCACTGCAGTCAGCTGAAACACCCAGGGCGGCCGCAGGATGAGCGCAGAAAAGGAGTTCTGATCGGGTCAAGTTGGGGGTGAGGGCCTGCTTGGATGTGTGGGGACACGATCAGTAGGTTATTAGAGACGGGAGCCTGGAACTTGGGCAGAGGGAGGTCTGATGCCCTCAGGAATCTCTCAAGGAGAGTGTGCGGTGGCACGAGGTAGCCTTGGTGACCTCCTCAGGGTAGGGCGGAAGCTTTCTCTCCTGAGGAGAACAACCTGGTAATGAAGAGACATAAAAAAATTAAATTAAAAGACATTAAAAAAATTTTAAAAAGATTGTTTTGTCCTTAGTTTGAGAGTGCAGCATGCCTGGTTCCTTACTGCCTGGTGTTTTGGTGGTTTCCCAGAGATGTGAGAAAAAGAGGGGTTATTAAGCGAGAACTGTGGAGGGAAGAACGGGAACAAGTTCGCCTGGATAATTGGGTGTCTTGGGGTCTCCTGCAGTGCCACTGGCTTCACCACCCGGTCAGACATTGGGCCCGCCCGGGACGCAAATGACCCTGTGGATGACCGCCATGCACCCCCAGGCAAAAGGACCGTTGGGGACCAGATGAAGAAAAGCCAAGCTGCGGATGATGATGATGAGGATCTGAATGACACCAACTATGATGAGGTAACTTGTGACACACTCCTAGCCAGTCTCCAGAAGGGCTGACCAGCTTCTTGACCCAGTGTGCCCTTGGCATCGCTGGTGACTGGCTCAGAGAGGCCAATACAGCGGGCTCTCCTGCTGTGCCCAAGGTATCTTCAGCAGCGTGTGAGAGGGGAGCAGGAAAAACATAAAGATATGTGCACTTCTTTTGTCTCTTCAGAGGAGAGGGTCTAGCATTGGTATTTTGTCTTGGCTGGATTTTTTTTTTTTTAGGGCATTCAAAGAGCTTCTTTTATTTAAGCCAAAATAAGTTTTCCTGGAAATTTTTTTTCTTTTTCTTTCATAGTTTTTTGTCAAGTTGGTTTCCATATAACACCCAGTACTCATCCCAACAAGTGTTTTGGCTGGATTTTAATGATGAAAATTCTAAGTGGAATTGGTGATGATTCTTGATTTATTTATTTTGTGTCAGTGCATATCCTCTTAGGTAATTAGTATTTGGCCAGTTGAGGTTTTCTTCATATGTGTTCTAACAGATGGCATTTTTACTCAGAGGAAAAGATTTTAAAAATGTCTATTCTGAAATGATTTTAAACTTCCAGGGAACTTGGAAAAAGTGGAGAATTCCTTCATAAACTTCTCATCTCACATGACCTTAGTATAATTATTGAAACCAGGAAACTAACATTGACACAGCAATGTTAACCTAGTCTGTAGCGCTCATTTGAATTCCACCAGTTTTTCAC